AGTTGGGACATTTATAAAGTAAATAACTAAAAAAAAAAAAAAAAAGTGAACAATATAAAGTTTTTTTTTTTCACTTTTTTTTTATGCTTAAATTATTCATGAGGGTAGATTGGTTCAATTTGTTAAATTGTAAAATTAAAAAAGTCTCATAAAAAGTCAAAGGGTAATTTGGTCAATTTTTCATGTAAAGGGGTGTCTTTGTCCATTTTTGAACCTTCAAGGGGTGTCTTTGTTCAGAAAATAGGTAAATTTCCTCTGAGTGTCATTTTGCCAAATCTCAAAGGGTGTGATTGTACTTTATCCTTTAATATTTTATCCAATATATGATAATCTGAATTCTAAAATGAATATGTGGATCAGTGGATGTGGTTCTTTGAAACTTACAGGCTAGACACCGCCCAGTCGCCCTCAGCCCACAGGCACAGCCCACAAGTAGAATTATATATAATATATATATATTCGGTTTCGGAACCGAATCGTGAGACCGGAACTGAAACCGAACCGAATCTAAACGATTCCTCATTTTAGGAACCGTAATTGAAAGAATCGAAAATTCGATTCCGATTCCACAGTTCTTTTATGCACCCCTAATCTTGAGACATCTTTCTCATTGCACATCACACTTCCAAGTGCTTTCTCAATGCTCCCACCCTGACAAATAAATTTGTTTTTGAATTGTCTAAAATGGTCATTTTCATATTACTAAATTTTTTAATATTATTTTATTTTATTAACAAGAGGACATTATAATCTTTTTATTTGAACAGAGGGTATTTGTAACAAATTAAAAACAAGCAATGTTTGTATTTTTGCACCATAAACGTGGTTTAAGAAATTTTGCACTTAACACACATATGTCAATCTATATCTACCTATATCTACATATACTATTTTAAAAGTGCAAGTCCCACTCCTAATTTCTTAATATTTTTTATTTTTTATAAAAAAAAAAATCTAATTAAATCTCGTTAAAAACATCTCATTCAATCATCTTATTTAACTCACAACAATATGACTTACTACCAACAAATCCAATTCATTATTGATGGCCCTTACTACATAAAAATCAATTTTCACATTATCACAATGTTGTGAAATGTTCTCTATTATTAATTATTTTAAATTGTTTTAATCCTTCAGCTCAAAAAAAATACTTCCTCTTCCCCACTTAGAAGAGAGTTTGTAGAAGACACATAGAAATCATCAAATTTCAAAAATATTTATTGAAGATATATTGAAAACTACTAATTTGTCACAAGTGGTCAAAAACACACTTTTTTTTTTCCCCAATTTTTTTTTTTTTTTTTTTTTTTGTTTTCGTTCAAGAAAAAACTATGTAAACCATACTAAATAGGTCCACATATGAAATATCTCGTTGCAGCTAACATATACATCTTCCACTACTATTGCCACGAGATCACCACCAGATTCAAACTCATGACAAATTAATTGTCACCTTCCACCTCCATCTTAAATAATCCGGACTTTGAAGAAATTTCATCGATTCTTTTAAAATAATAATGTCTACAAACCCTTAAGGCCCTTTCGGCAAATTTTGTAATAGGCATCTTGGACAAGGAATTACATGTATCTGGTTTAATTATGAAGTGTTCTAAGAGATTCGACACCACCACTAACAAAAAAATAAATAAACAATCACAAGGAACTCTATTTCTCATTTAAGAAACCCATGCCAGCAAATTCCAACCTCAAAAGACTCATCTTGAAAGCTACTCTTTATGTCCTACTTTTGAAATATTTTACTATATCTATGTCAATATCTGTAATATATATTATACTACTACAACTGCATAGTTTTTTTTATTTTTTTTTATTTTATATATATATATATACACATTTTAATGCATTTTTCATTAATAATTAATTACATAAATCTATATTCTAAAAGTGTAACCCCCTTCTTAATTTCTTAACTTTTTTATTTTTTTAAATACAAAAAATCTAATAAAGTCTCATTAAATCGCTCTATTTAACTCTCACAAATAAAAAATTAAATCACCTTCTGATTCTCATTAACATTTTTTTATTTTTTATTTATAAAAACTCTAATAACATGTTATTAAATTACCTTATTTAACTCTCACAGATAAATAAATAAAGAGAAAAAAAAATTCTATTTTATTCTAACTATTTAAAAGGATAGCAGTGTTACACATCTCAAACTAAAATTGGAGATGTGATTTTGAATCTGATGCCACTATAGCTAAAAAGACATTAATGTCTTCTATTTTAATACATATGTATTATATTTTATTCTTTTATGCATTTGTATTTCTTAAATTAGCAAACTAAATGAATTGTCTATTGAAGGGAAAGGAAATAACGTACAATTGCACTATGTTTTTCTCTCAATCTCTAATTTATTTTTCTCTATTTATATTTTTCATTATATACACAAGTATATATATATATATGTAGATATATAGTAGTGTTCAATTGCTCTCTGGTGAGCTGGAAAAATCATACTCACTTTCAATTATAATCGTAGGATCTAATCATACGGCTAATACAATCCTTGCACTGTTTTTAGGGAATTGATATTATTTGAATTAGTAATTAATTACAATTAAAGTAAAATTACTATAATAGACAGTTTCATAAAAAGAAAAAAGAAAAAAACCAGTTTTGTTTGTCATAGCCTTTTAAAATTTGGTTGATTAACTGTGAATATATCTCTTTTATCGAAATCATATATGACATATATTTTTTTTATGATAAAAATTAAGGAAGATTATATAACAAGAAATTTTTTTTTTTTTTTGGGCAAACTATGAAGACATATTTAATTGATAGAGAAAAACAAGATTAGCAAGAAAAATAATAAATAAATAAATAAAAATTTTCTTGTTATATTCTTCCTTAACTTCTTATTTAAAATAAAAAAAAAAGTTTTCATATGATTTCGATAAAAATAATATTCTTCCATTCACGGTTAATCAACTAAATCTTAAAAAGTTGTATCAATCAAAATTGATTTATTTCCTTTTATAAAACTGACTACTATTGTCATTTTACCTCAATTATAATTAATTACTAATTCAAATAATATCAGTTTTGTGCAAGGATTATATTAATAGTAGGATTAGATTTTAAAGCTATAATTGAAAGTGAACATGTTTTTTTCTGCTCACTGAGGAGCAATTGAACACTACTGTGTATATATATATATATATTTATTTCCCTTTCTTCTCTTTTTCAAAGTCTCAAAATCTTGACCTATCAAAGTGACTAAGACAAAGGTACACCAATTCGTGTAGAAATCTCCTTCATATAGTACTACACTGTATAAAAAATAAATTTGGATCCCCAATCGTGTTCCTTGATCTTGTGTTGCTGATACAATATTATGCACTAAATTAGTCTCACGACAAAGTGCAACAGGAATTGCAAGTAAAGTTATTATCCAAGCAATCTGAATTATTATATAAAAAGAAGTAAAAGACGCGAGCTGCGGCACAAGAAGAAATGACAAAAAAGAGATTTTAAAACCAATAAATAAGAGCTAAAAATTATAGACAACAAGCTTTGTTTTTACTCTAATGTTCGTTTGGGGTAGCTTCTTAAGGTTTTCAAAATCTTTCCAAACGTCAAAAGTCATTTTCTAAAAAATTATGACATTGTTTACACATATGTGAAGTCCTTCTTCAATAACTTGATAATTAGTAAGTCCATTTAAGATAAGTAACAAAATGTTACTTTTAAAACTTCCTCAAGAAGTCAATATATTTTTTTAGATAAATTTATTATTTTTACTAATTTGCCTATATAATTTTCATATATTGGCACTGCCTTTCAACACCACCTTCGTGACTTTCCACCATCATTACCTTTCAACCGCCGCCTTCCAACACGTACACCACCTTCCATCATCACTTTCCATTACTGCCTAATATCACCCCCACCTTTGCGCGCCGCTTTTCAATTTCACCACAATCTCCTTCTATCACCACCACCTTCCACACCCACCTTTTCGTGCGGCTTTTCACCATAGTCTCCTTCTATCACCACCACCTTCCACATACTGCCACAGTTGTTGTCACTTTTCGTCACTGAATTTTTTATATTTCTATTTTAGATCTCAATTTTTTTAGAATTTATGAAGATGCTCTCACTAAAATTACAATTCGGCCCCCACTGAGTCCTTTTTTTTTTCTTTTTTTTTTAACATTTTATACTTTAAATTTTTAAAAATTTATGAAGATGCCCCACTAAAATTACAATTTCCCTACCGAATTAATGTTTTTTGCATTTTATACTTTAAATTTTTAAAATTTATGAAAAAACTCAATTGAAATTATAAAAATGGACCCATCATATAAGTTTGTCCCACAAATTAAAAGGTCGCGCCCCTCACAAATTTTTCTGAATCCGTCACTACCTTCCGCCATTGTTCATACTTTTTACTTGAGGCTTGCAATAATTGTCAAAAAAAAAAAAAAAAAAAGGAATAATATTATTGAAACAAAAATAATTTAAAATTTAAAGTACATTTAAGAAATACACTAACCAATTTTGCAAATGACTTTTCTCCTCACGAATTTCTTTAACCAAGGCTTTATCAACGAAAGGACTTTTAAAGAAGCTCGGCGCCTAATCTTCTATGGAATTTAAATAACTAGACGAATTGTTTTGGCGAGTTCACGTGAACCAATGATACACTTCCAGTGCTAAGTACCAACCAATCATCTGCTTGAAACGATAGGTAATGACGTTAGAGTCAGAGGTTGTAGCCTGAGATTAAAATATGCAATCTTCATTGCGCGCCTTCATGGTACTCCTACTGGGCGTTCATTACAACCTGGACACTTGTAACGAATGCTTTTTACCTGATCATGAGACACGGACTGTCATCATTTCTAGAAACAGCCCTAGTGATCACCGTTGATCAAAAATCAATATGGACCCCACTTAATATCATGCCGTCGTTGATGCAACATTTCTTCAATTAAATCCAAATTATATATACTTGTAATAAACAAGCTAAAAAACATACAAATGTATATGTGAATCTGTGTGCGCCATCGATTCCAAAGTTCTCAGAACCCGAGGTTTTGTTTTCTCGAGTCTTGGTAGTTTTCGTCAATTCGAAGTTCATAAAGCGTATGATATTCTTTCTATCTGTGTTTTCGTAGAAAGTTGTATTAGGGTTTTGATTTTCAAGAGTCGAATTAGAAATCGGAGAGTGATGGCTCAAGCTGTTGAAGAATGGTACAAACAGATGCCTATTATCACCCGTTCCTATCTCACTGCTGCAATCGTCACCACCGTCGGTTGCTCCCTCGATGTATACCTTCTGTCTATATATAATTATTCGTACGGATTTATGTGTGATCATCTGTTATTCATTTGGGTTTATATCAATTAGTTCGTCATGATGGGGTTTTGTTATTATTTTGTAAAAATATTGGGTTTTCAATTCGCCTTTTTCTTGAAAAAGAAGTGTTTTTCTTGTAGTTGTTTCAATTCCTTTTTTCATGTAGTTGTTTTGAGGTTATGGATTATTGTACCTAATGAGTATATATGTATATGTGCTTTTTTGCTTTTATATCAGTGCTGATGATTTACTTATAAATTCTTGCAGATAATATCTCCTTATAATTTGTACTTGAACCCTAAGCTTGTGGTCAAGCACTATCAATTCTGGCGTCTCGTCACCAATTTTCTCTACTTCCGGAAAATGGGTATAATTTGTTTAGTTTTGATTTTTTAAGTGATTATGACTAATGTTGGAGTCTATGAAATGGTCTGCTGTAAATAGGTTCCCAGTCTTTGATCTGAGTACCAGGCTTGTATTTTATTCATTAGAAGGGTTCAAGATTAGCATTAGCATATTTTTTGTGTTTTAATATTATTTGTTCTAAGGAATCCGTAAGGGAGAAATGGTTGGTTGCTAGTCGGGACATGTCAAAACGCATGATTGATTTCTTCTTTAAATGTACAACAATTACCAAGCCTTTTTCCCAACTACTTGCGCAAATGTGGGAAAATGTATTCAATTGATTCATTGAAGTAGTCCTAAGTATTAGGGCAGTAGTATTCCGTCATTGTTATTTGTACAAAGAAGCTTTCTAGAGTTGACTTCATCTCCACCACCCTTTATTCTTTTGAACACATACACACACATTTACTTTGACAACAATAAGCTGTGTTGCCAACCTGATTGGTTACTACTTTTAAATGAATCCTGAGTCCCAAAATGAAGCTGTCAGTTACTTCTCATCTTTTCTGTAGATTTTCATGGAATTCAGGTAGTGCCTTTAATCAAATAGGGTGGAATTGGTTGCTTTGGATTTGTGTGCATTGATCTTTTGTGGTCCTCTAAGAATTGCTCTTGCTTATCTTCAGAGTCTCGTTTAAGTTCTAATCATTTAGCTTGGTGTTTTGGACCTTTGTGGATTTGCAACTCCTACCAGGGAACTTTAAAACATGACAAAGAATGGATATTTAATAAAGGTCAAATATACCTATCCAAAAAAAAAAGGTCAAATGCAAATATTTCTTGATGCTAGAGAAGTTTGACTGGGCATGCCTTCTTCTTGTATTGAATGTCCTCCTCTTAAAAGGAAAAAAGGCGGCACGGGTACATTAATCCAAAATGAATTTCCAAAATTGATTGTTTTATGTAATTTTGTTTTGCAATTATTAAATTCAACCAAAATGAATTTCCAAAATTGATTGTTTTATGTCTTTGTGGGATTTTTGTTTTGCAATTTTTAAAGTTCTCTTGCCAAGATAATTATTCGTTTGACTTTATTCATGGTGAAAATGAGGTTACGTGTCTCTAAAATATTTCTTTGTAGAGTCATCTTTAGAATATGGAATCTCATTTATCTCACCACTTCATTTTTCATGTAACTTGTAATATTTGAGTGGACTGGTAACAACAATTTGCGAGCTTCAAATAATTTTCAATCTTTTAACTGTACTTGATCAAGGAGATGTGATTGCTTCTCTAATCTAGTAACACTTTTTTCCTTTGAAGTTTGTCGTAAAGATTCAATAATTTTTATGCGTTCTTAATTTGGCATTTAGTTTATCAAGGTCATCAAAATTTGTAGCCTCTCCTGGATTGAATAATCATGAAATTTGTATACATTAAGTGATTAGAGTTAATAAAAATGAATGGTTCCTATGGCATCGCGTTTGGATTTGTTCGATTACTATTCTGTTTCCGTTAAGGAACTCTTAATACATTTGTTATAATTGTCCCAAGTTAGTCGTGTTTTTGCCCTGCCTTCAAATAAACTATTAAAGTCAACTGACTAAATTAAGCTTTATATCCTAGCTTCTTGATTTCAACTACGCAGATCCATTCTCAAAATCCAACTATATCTTGATCCATAGTTTCTGTTAACTACACATACTATTCTGTCTTCTGATTGTTGCACTTTTGACCATCCTCGATTAATGCTACCTTTTGCCTTCTAATGAATGCATTTGTTTTCTTATACTATATTTCCACATGTTACTACACACAGCTCTTTCCACCTCAACCTTTTATATATACTATATTTTCACATGTTACCACTAACAGCTCTTCCACATCAACATTCACATCCCGTTGTGCTTTTCCAATGCGCTTTTTAACTTCCCTAGACTTATTTATATCATCCACATTCCTTGCCTTTCCTCTCCCTTATTATGGAAAGTCTTATGTTTGGCGTTTGGATAATTATCATCTTATCTTAGGGGGAAAAAAATATTTGATCCAAATCACTGCGTTATACATAAGAATGCATGTACAGGCAAGTCTTTATTTTGCACCATTTATTTACACGTGTTTTATATAAATTTGAAACTGGAAGTTGTGCCCTTTAGTGATCTATCATTCTAATGGATAGCTCGAAATGATTTTTATCATCAGATATAATGTTTTTTGATATCAAGGCTCATGCTTACCATGACTTGATTTGATTCCTCGTCTACTTGATTTACTTAATTGCATGTCTACACACACAACAATAGATTTTCCTATTTTGGTGACACTTTAGACTTGCTCCCTCTTTATGCTAAAAACGATCATATATCATCACTAAAAGTTGAAAATATAGGGTAAAGTGGAAATATATTAATAAGCATATTAAAGTCAAGTCAATAACTTCACAGCTACTTGGGTTGGATAATAGATTGATGCAGTTGCGAAGCCAGAAATTTAGTTTAATGGGGGCACAATTTGAACAATGTCAAGATATACTCCCTCTATCCCGAAATATACAATTTGAACAATGTCAAGAAATACTCCCTCCGTCCCGAAATATTTTGGGACAGAGGGAGTATATCTTGACATTGTTCAAATTGTGCCCCCATTAAACTAAATTTCTGGTTCCGCAACTGCATCAATCTATTATCCAACCCAAGTAGCTGTGAAGTTATTGACTTCTTTTTTCTTAATTACTTGCAGTCGACTACATGAATCTTATGTTTTAATACGAAAAATTAAATCCTGATTGATACTATTTTGATTTAATATATTTGTGATTGCCCTTGACCAGTTTCATGCATGTTTTGAACGTTGCATGATAATTTGTTTCGATATATAAAGTAATTCCAATAAATTGCAAAGCTTTATCGTATTTTGAAAAACAATTCTGAAAGAAAAGAAAGGAAAATACAAATCCTTTTATTTTATAACCTAAAATGAAAATTTTATTCACAAGTAGTGAGATTAAGTAAATAAGTAAGGATTTTGCTTACTGGCATAGGGTCAGTAAATAAATTGAAAAATATTTTTATGATTCTTTCTTATCGTTTCCGGTTTGGAGAAAGTCAGAACGATTGAGAGGGTAAAAGAAAAAATGGATGACTAAAGTAGCGATGAGCTAGATGTAAGTTAGGAAAAAGTTATGTGCAAAGAGCAAGAGAATTATTACAATTAATAAAAGAGAGGACTAAATCATCAAGACTTGATTTTTTCTTTACAATTATTTATTTATTTATTTATATAATCTTGAAATGGGGATTTTTACAATGTTCAAGAATTATGTATACAAAAGTTGAGTTGGGGCAATTGGCCCATTCGCCCCTATGTGGCTGCGCCACTGGGTTGACGTAAGGTTTATACTGGCTAAACATGTTGGGTCCCAAAAGGGCTCTAATACCACTATTGGGCCAGAGAAGTTTTGATACCACATTTAAATAACTGACCTACCTTCTAATGTTCAGAATTCTTTTAAGTGCTTGCTTGTAATTTTCAAAATTCTTTAAGTGCTTGCTTCGATTAAATGTGCTCGTTTATTCTTAAACATTTGCTTCAAAATGTTGATCTAATTGATATATTGAAATCTAATTTCTATTTATTTTTGGTTGTCAATGTTTTTCCTAATGGGGTTGTATTTTGATAATGCCAGACTTGGACTTCCTATTTCACATGTTCTTTCTTGCTCGATACTGCAAGCTTCTCGAAGAGAATTCCTTCAGAGGAAGGACTGCAGATTTCTTTTACATGCTCTTATTTGGTGCCACCGTTTTAACGGGAATCGTTCTTATTGGGGGAATGATACCTTATGTCTCAGAGTCATTTGCAAAGATTATATTCCTTAGCAATTCCCTTACATTCATGATGGTTAGTTGGTTCGCCTTCGTTAACATAGAAAATGTACTTATTTGGTTAAACTTGGCAGGCGATAATGGTTGTGAAATCCTTTGTTTTGTTTTGTCTTTTTTTTCCTCCAACTTTTCAGGTTTATGTGTGGAGCAAGCAAAATCCTTTTATCCATATGAGTTTCTTGGGCCTCTTTACATTCACAGCAGCTTACCTTCCATGGGTAGGTGAATCTCAAAAGTCCTGTTCATGTGTTCTTGTTGAACTAGCATTTGATTAGCCGTTTCTAATCTCTCTTTCTTTCTTTTTTAGTACTGTATTCATTTTTAAATTATCTTTTGCTTGTTTAAATATTTCAAGTTGAGGAATCAGTTGAAGACTTCAGAGTTGTCTGTTTTGGACTGTCTTGCTTAGTCACTTCAGTTGTCATTCTCTCTCCCCCTCCCCCTTTTTCTCTCTCTTTTTGTATCAGTAAAGTGATGTGGCTGCAATGGTCATCTGTACTTCATTATACTAATTAAATTGTTTTGCTGATTTTGATGCTACAACAACCACCCCCTCCCCCCAACACACACTACTACTATTACATTGTTTATTAATAAGTTTGTTCATTTTATTCATTTACCATTGCAAATGTTAGTTGCACAACACAGCATATGTCAGTCGAATTACATCACCAATGCCTAGCAAGACCAATACTTAATACCTTGAACCGTGCAGTCTGATTGGCTAGAAATTTCATTGAGTTACATAATTCTTTCTTGAGTGCATGGATGCTGTAACAGGGAGATATTAATAGGAAGATTATTATGAAGCCATAAATGCAGAGGTTTTGATGCTTTATATCTTTTGTTTCCATCTATGCATTAAGCAAAATAATCTCCTTTTTTTTTTTTTTCTTTTTTTTCTTTTTTTTTTGCTTTTGTTTGTATTTTTGCTTTTCATATATTCCCAAACATGGGTTGTTTGCTTTGGTGCCTTCATTAATGAATCTTTTTTTTCCTTCTTCCTTCTTATTCTTTTTAATGGTAAATCATTAAAAAATTCTTCTTGAAGGAAAACCTCATTTTTACAAAATGTGCACAGACGAGTCCTTATTGAAGGCAGCAGACGACTTTGTGATTTAAATGTTTCTTTGTCCTAATTCTGTGAAGTTGTGGGAACAGGGATGAACTTGTTTGGCAGAGTTGTAGGATGCATGTTCTGTATTTACCTTCAACCCTCCATAAAAATGATATCTTTAAAATATATCTGATAGGGAAGTATTGTGAAATATGGTCAGAGACCATGTAATTAGTGTTAATATTATGTTTTTTCACTGAAGATTTGAATTTTTTAAATATTTAAATGTTCCCCTGTAGTATTTTATTTCAAATTTGCCTTTTCTTTATGAAGGACGTTCTTATTCCTGAAACTGAGATGGATTTGTTCCTTTTATGTTTATTTCAAATGGAATTGCAATCAGCCACGGACTCCAACTTTATATATTTTAACAATTGGTGGCTCTTTATCACTCTCACTATTTTGACCTGTGTAGTACCTGATTCTATTCCTGTTCCTGCAGGTTCTTTTAGGATTCTCTGTCCTCGTCGGCGCTAGCGCGTGGGTGGATCTGCTGGTATGTTAACGTATCATGGTTTTGTTGTCTGATAAGCGCATTTATTGCATTGCGAATATGGTTTATATCGCATAGTTAACCTAAGATTTTGTTAAGAACAGTGTCACGAGTTGATCACCAGAGTGTAGCAGAAAGGAGAGCAATTATTTTTTTCTCCTCGTATATTCTATCATTTTAAACGGACTAGAAAATCATTCTGGCACTACTTCACTATCATTTGGGTCATATGATGCGAATATTATGTAGTTATCATTTTCTGTAAAAGGCACCTCCAACTGGACATATTTTACTGGGCCCCCACCCCCAAAAAGGCATCAATTTCTAGTTGCATTTCTATTAGTCTTGGACTTGGTTACCAAAAACCTTCTAAAATAGGTTTTGGTCCTCCTCTCAATCCTTGAATTGGAAATCTGCAATCCTTCCTTCCTGAATTCTTCACTCATCCTAATGTGGGGGTGAACGTTGGAAGCTGAAACTGTGTCACGAAAAGACACTTTAGATCACCTTCAGTTCAACACACCATCGCTCATCTTTTTGCGAGTTGAATTTCATTGAGCACGTGCGTAGAATAAAAACACATTAGACATATATATATATATATATATATATATATTTATTTACACAAGTAATGTAGTTACATGTGCATGCATAATATTAATTACATGTTATATGCATGCATCCTTCTAACACATGTTCTCTACACCTCAAGTATATTTGAATTTCTGCCTTGCGCTCTTGCTGTCATTTTCTACTTTGGTTATTCAACTCTGGCGAGAGGATTACATCTTTGTAATGGTAAAGGCCTAGTCATTGAGGAGTGATCAACTTGATGCATTTAGGCATGGACCAGTGTCTTGCTTACCTCTCTTTTTATTTGTTCATGTAAACATTCCGTTTCTTGCGTTGGTGTTTGACACTAAATTACTATTTTGTGGTTCAGGGAATGATTGCCGGGCATGCATACTATTTTCTTGAAGATGTGTATCCACGAATGACAGGACGTCGACCCCTGAGAACTCCATCGTTTATCAGATCATTGTTTGCAGATGAGCCTGTAGTAGTGGCGCGGCCTGCAAATGTTAGATTTGCTCCCCCACCTGTAGAGGAAGTTCAGCAAAATTAATCAGACTCACCGGAAGACTAGACTAATGGGAGCTGCCCCCTGCTTATGTTGATATCTTTGTAGAATTAGATGGGAATCCAGGTGAAAGTATGTTCAGTCCATATACAGGAATACTTTTGAAGCATGTTAACTATGGTTATCCCTTTCAGAGCTTATCATGATAATTTGCATGATGTTGCTGCCATTTTTGGCATGTGGGTTTGAAGATGGTTTTTTTGTAATTTAAATTTGGATGGGATTTGATACTTTATAGCATCTGGCATAACAGGAATTTTTCTTAAAATTACAGCCAACCTTTTCCAATAAAGTTATCTTGCATTTTGTTTCTATTTTGTCATATTATCGTTTAGCATCTGACATTTAAAATTTTGAAGGTGTTAGCTTTCATTTTAGGCAAGGCTTATAGGGTTAGCCTCTGTCTAGGTAAATGGCCGAGTCACGTCTAGTTTCAGCTCACTGGAGCTAAAAATTCATGCATCAGGCTACATTTGCAAATTGAGCATGATGAAAATATCAATGCTCAATTCTCACAACATGTTGGAACAAATTATTTGATTCAATCTCTTTTTGAAGTTATGCATTGCACCTGAGGGAATAGGTTCATTTGTTTACTTCTACTATGGACCATCTTTTTTACTGTGTTGCTTTTTGGTTTTTTAAAGTTTTATCAGGACATATTTATTCCTAGGACTTTTCAAAGGTGATATTGGAAGGGCATTTTTATGCAGAAAAAGTTATTAGGGCATATTGAATTGAAGCACATGCTTGCCTGAGTGGTTGAGTTGCTCCTCAAGCCTGAAAGCTTGTTTTCAAACCTTGCATCTCCCCTTCCCTCTAACCAACTAACATTCTTCCCAAGGAAAAAAGAAAAAAAACACATACTGAATTGAAAATAAATTACTAACCTTGAGGTCAAGGGTTTAAGGTCGGTAGAGAGAAGATGATACAATTAATTTAGGACAACTACTTTGTTTGGAAGATGACCTACTCAGTAGGTAAGTCCTGTCCATTAATTTATGCAGAAACATCTTAGGTCTATCAAACAACAAAATTACTAATCGTCAAGAAAACAGAACGGAAAGGAAGAGTTTTTCACTTCAACAGTGACGAATCCAACCTTAAACAAAAAAAAAAATTTCTTTTTCTTTCCAAAATTACATAACCAAGTAAATAAACCCTTGTTTTCTTAACAAACAAGCAAATCAGCTAAAAATGATACATTCACTATAAACGAAAATTACAAGAACAATTTCCTTTTAGCATGTGAATCCAATAAAACCATAAATGTTATCTGACGTCCGGTATTCAAGCTACAAAACCCATGAAGAAATCAATTCCATGAAGAAATCAATTTAACTTGTCGCAAAGACCTCCTTTATACATGGGGAAAAAAGAATCGCTGCCACCATGAGCCATGCCAGAACAATACATCTGGACTTTTCTTGTGGCCCTGCCTGCTGCTACCTCTCAATTCCACTAGCATCTAATGCCGCAACCATGTGAAACCATTTTTTAAGGTAAAAAGAATGATAGTTCGGAGGATAATATGAACCATGGCTAACGGATGGGGTGATATTGGGCTGATATTCTCTTGGGAGGCAACTTACGCAGGATGTAGAGGACAAGAGCTGAAGGGAGGATCTCGACCACCTGTTTTTTAATCAATAAAAAGAAGCACATGCTTAAAGAAAAGTAAAAGAGGGACCTAAAAATGAGGTTATCAATAAATATTCTTTGCAGATTACCGTGTAATAGATTAAATTCAGAACTGGATGATCCAACACATCGAGTGATGCATCCAAATCAAAAGCAGATAGAACAACCTACATTTAGAAAATAAAGTTATGAAGGCACGAGTAGGAAATCCAATTCATATTTGAAAAAGCAGCAAAACCTAGGAAAGCGGATGAAGAAAGTAGAAACCCATGCGAGACTAATGTTTTTCTCGACTGTTGAATTTTGGTTAAAAAGCAGATTGCATAAATTTCATTAGTTGAACCTTGAACATAGGATCTAAATTTCATAACCTCTTCACATATCACTAAATTTGCATCTTACTCTCTGGCTTGGTAATCTGAGACTATGCTGCAACGATGATCATCATATTCCCCCACCCCCAACCCCAACCCCCATACACCCACTCGCAAAAATTCACGGTCACTTCATTTTCTGTGTTCTGAAGTACTGATCAAAGAACAATATCCATTTTATATTTAAATCTTTGGACTTCAGCACATTGATGGCACTAGTACTTGTTATGCAAGGAGACATCATTGAACAATCTTTAGTTGCTTTTTAATCACTCATCAGCCACTACATACTGAAGAAATTATTATCCAGCCACTATAGCGAACAGATTATAAGATCAACATGTAGAGACACTTGACTAAGCAAAGCCTCACTTAAATTACTTGGAATAGCCCTACATGAATCAACTCTTCCATTTAGCTTGGTGCAGTGGTGAAAGCTTAGGCTAACAAAGCATGGGACCGGAGTTTGAATCTTAGAGCAAGCACTTTGTACAAAAATAATACCAAAGTGTAGGGTTGACTTCAGTATTTCCTTCTCAACACCCTAGGGTAGACGTGATTGAAGCTAGATAATAACTTTTTTTTTCCTCCTATAATTGTTCTTGTAAGAGTCAAAACTCTGTCATATATGTCATTTATAATGTCAACCTATCTATTTGTGACTTTTTTTCCCCCTTCCTAAAACCCACATATTATCTGTCTAGGAATCTATCATTACACTATTGTTTAAATTCTTTGTTGTTGCTCCATCACTCTCTCTCAAAGTTCCACAGTATAAATCATCAATTTAATATATAAATTTTAATCATAAATTTTACCACTCATGAAGCACTTCTTAATCATTATTTGATCATTAAACAATTATCTAACCAAGACACATCATCATTTCATTAACACTTCTAAAACCTAATAGGAGGAATACCATATGATCCTAAAACCTTTCCCATTTTCATCTTTCACAATTTACTCTCCACCTTGGGAAATCTAACCCTACAAAAGTACATGGTTTCTCTAATTCTTTGAATTTAACACATTTTTTCTAAGCCTGAATTTCCTATACTGTTTTCATCAAATAACTTCTCAAATTAACTGTTTAACCTTTCTCAAATTTAATCACCATTGGGGGTGGGGGTGGGGGTGGGGGTGCGGAGGAGGCTAGATCACCTTCCATACCATACAGAAAGAGCAAGGTCAAGCAAACACTACCGGTCCAATTTGTGGTTTTCCTCGATATAGTATTACCATATATTTCAACCACATTTATGCCATATTAACCAAAGAAACATAAAAGTCAATTATCCAATCTCATAATCCTTAAAATTCTATACAAGCATTAGTGAAGAAAATACTTCTATTGAAATTACTGGTGTGCAGAGTAGTCTGAACCTTACCACAAAGCATCTTATAAGAAAGCAGGTGAAGCATATGGCTGTCACAGATCCAACCTGCAACAGCTAGCACATATTAGAACCAAGATATTTGGACCAATTGCCATGAAGTTTATAAAAACTAGATCTCAAAAATAAATAATAAATGAATAAATTAAAACCCTTAAAAGGAAAAAGGTAGGGTTTAAAAAGAATTTACTGTGATTACAAGGATCCCATATATTATGATAAACTAAGTAAATGAACTCTCTGAGAACAGTATCCATTTTCATTTTTACTTTTTCCCTTTATCAGTCTACAGTTCTACATTAAATAGCCAAATTCATATTAGTATAATTTTGTAAAGGTAACACTTGAAGTGAAGTCAGATGATACTTGCATCTGTTCGATTCAGTGCCTCGTCTGATAGGAATACACAAATCATGTTACATGATGCCATATTATACAGTGCTGGCCATGAGAAAAGGAAGTCTATTGAAATGAAAGTAATGTTGCGTTTAGTGACCTGGATTTGGATTTGAGAATGGATTTTAAATCTTTGGATTTAAAATACCGGATTTCAGGGTTCAAAATTTGTTTTAGGACACTAAAGTATTTTTAAAGGAAGGATTTAAAATCCACTCAACTCGAGAAAGACAAGAATTTACATTCATCATCATCCTTGCCTTAATCCTAACATTGGAGCAACTCCATTTTCTGCAAAACATTCAACCAACACACAACCCACCATGGATGTCATTAAACCCCAATCACCATAGTTACTGCCATGGCCAACCAAATAAACCCTCTACATTGATCAAACACCTTTGATGCCAAAGCCAAACCACCAACATGTTATAGATCCACTCGTGAGGAGCTTAACTTTATCCACCACCATACTGTTGACTCTATGATCCTATATGAGCAGAACCAATGATGTGATAACAATTCCAGATCTTATTCTGTGCCATAGAGTCAGCACAACTAATGTGGAAGAGATTTCAATGAGAAGTAATCTATTTGAAGTTCCCAGAAATATTTTGAGAACAATTCATGGCCACCACATGAAAGTCTGCACAATCTCAACTCTCTAACCTACAGGACTACGTTGTTGCCAGCTCCTACACTAACCTCTTTGACCCTGAATTTCATTTGAATCTGAACGAGTACAAACAGATCCTAAGTTTTATAGGAATACGGGTTTCTTCTCACTGAATCTATACTTAAAAATGAAATGGATGTTGAAGACGATATAGATCATTGCACTACCAAGCCTTATAGCTCAAATGGTATTTCCTCCCCCACATGGCAGGTAGAGATGGTGTGTGTGCGTGTGCGTGTGCGTGAATGAAGTATATATACTAACCCAAAATTAATAATGATTATAACAATAAATTGTGATATAGATCATCTGCAATCCATCAACAGCCCTAGTTTGCTACCACAGTTTTCCCAAACCATGAAAAGGAACACAATAAATAACTGAAGTGAAACACATATTATGCTGGTAATGGAGAAAATCCAAGAAGATGCACCACAAGGAATTGAACAAGCAAGCATAATTCAGAGGACAAACTGTAATAGCAATGCACAAACCTCATGAAGCTTTTTTCTTCTCCCTTTGGATTCAATAGGAAATCGTCTCAGCATGAAAAATAATCTATAAAAATTGTTGGATATGACAATCCACATTGCAAAAAATTAGATACTGTCGAAAATCAAAATACAGATTGCTTTAGATTCAGAATTCACAGAAGCCAATAAATGTCATACAGAATATTCACCTTCCTCCATAGAGCAGGAAACCTAATGCCGCTATAAATGATACCACTGGAAAAAATAAAATAAAATAAGCATCCATGCACGTAAAAGAAGCAATAATTATTATGGTTTGAAAAAGATGGCCAAAGATTTCTCAATGTCTGCAAATGGAAGTTTTTAAACATACAGAATGGTTAGACAAGAGACCTAACCTGCAATAAATATCTTTCCAATGAATTCCACAACGCTGTTGTCATCTATCCAGAGGTATACCCAAATACAAACCTGATACCAACACCTTTTTCAGTAAAACATCACTTAAATAACAAAGTCAAACACAATGTTTAGAAGTGCTATTTTTAAGAGTAAGGCCCAATGCGCTTCGCCAAGGCTGTTTATGCTACTAAGTTTTGCAACCTCGGACTGCACCTTGTATGGTTACACTTGCCTGGAACCTGTGACAAGGAATGAAACACAACCTCCCACATCCCAGCAAACGGGAGGGCTGGAGGGGCATTCATGACCACCTCCTGTTACGAAAATCCAGACAGTTACCACTCAAACCATAACTTTCTAAAACCCAAAACGCTACCCATATGCTTCTGATCAGAAGGGAATTCTACTATGAAACCAGCGCGAATGCTCCATGTTGCATCCAATTACAGCCAAAGAAGGGGAAAAAAAAAGAGTACTTGCAACAGAACAAACTCATATCCTATACAATAGAGGTTCTTGCAATTGCTTGTTTTCATTGTGCTTTGTAGAAAAGTTGTCCTTTGTTTAAAACATATTTTTCCTCAATCTCTAGATGCAATACCTTAAAAGGACCTATTGCAGGAACTGTAGGGTGCATATTGTAGAGGATATGTACCCGTATGGAACGATTTAATTAAGTAGCCGGCAAACTAATAATTATCTTAAACAGACTGCCATGCCATAGTGTTTAGTTGAGACAAAAATAGTAGGGAATACCAAAAGGTAAGGATTTGTCTCCTATTTTACGTCTCCAAGCATGGATAAAATGGGCTAAGATTTCCATCTAAGGATAGTTATCACATTGCATATAGCAAAATGACTACAATTTTTTTCTTCCATCCTCTGTATCCACTTTATTAGTCCAACCTACAAAAGAATTCAGTTGCGTAGTTTTATCTAATCAATAAATATCAGGTCAAGGAAGGTACTAAGTAGCCATAACTAAAAGGAAAGCCAGGATTTCCATGTTTGTTACAATATTTCCAGAAGTGACAAGAGGTGTTCCACCACTTATCGAGCACAAGTTCGTACATTTACACGTAAACAAAAGGTCAACCTATCTAATAATGATGATTATAATATAAGAGATTAACAATAATAATAAAGGCAAATTGGAAATTGTTAAGACTCGAAGCAGAGATCTCAAACTACAAATGATGAAGGCAGCAGCAATTGGACACATACATGCAATTGCTACATGACGTAATGATATGTGTTTATGTGAGATTATAATATGAATACTTGATGTTGAAGGTTCCCTAAATCAACCGGTAAAAATAACGTTTTTATGTTTAGTGTGCCACAGTAAATGAAAATGTCAGATGAAGCATACGGCATACCTGTATAAAGTACATTGCAGCATTAAGTGAAATATAAAAAATTCTGAGCTTATCTGTTGGTAAACTTCTTGCCTGCTCATTAATAAGTATGAGAGGGTCAGAATTACAACACTGGTGGTTAGATAAACTAACAGTATTCAGGAGCATGTGACCCCACTTAAATAAGAATATAGATCAATGCCCTCGAAATGCAAAAGAATTTAGAATTTTAACTTGCCTGGTGATATATCTCTGCCCAAAATAGGACAAGAAGAGTGTATGTTGAGAAAAACAGAAGTCCAGGAAGATCCAGTAGTACAAGAATTAGTACCTAGTTCAAGACACAGCCAGCTGATGTCAGTGTACAAGCCCTAAGCATTCTAGATGCCAAATGATAACAAAAAAAATGCATTCTCATTTTACTAGTGTGCATCTTTTGATCCATAATAATTTCATCAATAAGCATTAGTTTATCCTCTTAGAAGCTGATCTTACCAATGCTTCAGATGGTTCATTAGAGTACTGAGGCTAAAGGGTACCTTAATCCAAACTATATTAGCTACCAAAGTAGTTGTAAATTAAAGAATGCATTGCAATTTACATGGAGGCAATTGATTTTTTTGTCCATATCCAATGTGATCAACTTTGAGTGATCGACCAACTCACTATAGTTCAAATCCTACTTCCGAGTTTAATTAGATACAAGAAACTTTTAAAAGGTCAAATGAGTTAAGCACAACTTATTTGTTCAAGTTACTGACCATGGAATGCATACTGAGCAGGAAATATGCATTCCACTATATTTGTCAGACAGTACATGAAACCACTGTGAATGCCTCTTGGATATGTTTTCTTCATGTTCCATTAAATAACAATTTCCCTCATCATTGAAAACACTAACGGTAGAATATGTCTTCCACCTCATCCAATAGGTGGTGACCGTTCTGTAAAAGCCTCAATGATGTTTCCTTTCTCCTTCTATTTATTTTTTAACATTTCTTTAAAGGGTGAAGATATCAAATTGAGGTAATGAAGGGAGAGGGTGATGAAATTAGGAGATTAAAAAACCATGAAAAGTTAGCTAGGCGGTGAAGGAAACATGGCATGCAACTTTGAAGAAATCTATTCTCTAATAACTCCCAATAGGAGAAGGTGACTTTAGTGAGAGTGAGGGCCTTCACCATTACAAGGATCTTGGAATCTTAGATATGAAGGCCTTGATTACACTTGAAAAGCCAAGACAATTGACCCACTAGACAAGGTATGTTTAGACCCAAAATTAAACATATCAGCAAACTTACCTTGGGATGCAAATAAAACACTTGCTTGTGAAATCCAAAGACAATTGCACGTACTGAAATAAATAATTCAGAGTCAGACCAATAATCTAAAACCCAAATGACAGAAGAAGTAATCGATACCCAATTGCTACCTCCATTTACAATGAAGTTCATAAGATGGAAAACCTTTTGTGTTGTCCAACCATACTCAGGCACTCTCAATTCAATCCTTATTAATTGTATCTGCATACCATCAATAGAGTTGTAGTCAGCTATTTACAGTTAAGAATAGATTTTTATCTAAGTGCAAGAGTCATACAACTTAATATAGAATGAATAATATTATCTTTTCATTTGATAAGTAAAAGTGAGGGAGAAAGGGATAGAATGAATAATGTTATCCGAAGTCGGGTTTGGTTTTTAGGAGGTTTCACCTCCTTGAAGTGCGCAATTCCTCCCCATTTCTAACTCTTACTTTTATTTTCAAATCAGCCGCATTCAATATTTATGGATCACCTCCAGGCGAAACTTGTAGGTTGAGTTGAGGTTGAATGTGCAAAGGTGAAATGTTAGGAGAAAACACCCTCAAACAGGTTCTTTTGTTTTCATTTTTTTTTTCTTTTTCAACATTATCTTAGATGGCATCACACATATTCCATGATCAAATTCTTAAAAAATTCAAACCTTGAGGACAAGATTCCTTTAAGGAGGTTTATATGATATGTACCCATATAGTTTAAATGAATTTGGCTTATTTTAGAGGTTAGATTAATCAGCTATTAAAATTTACTAGAATTGTAATTCAATAGATTCCTGTAGAAGTTGCATGGCTTGGCATGTCCAACTGGGCTTGGCTTTTAAGAGGTTTTCATGGTTGTGGCCTTTCTAGGAAGTTTCCAAAAAGTTTGAATACCAACGTAAATCTCTATGAAGTTGTAAACACCAAAAGCCATAATACCGGCAGACAACATAGGCATATTCCACATGAACCCCACCCACCCACCCACAAAATACTGGAAACTATATATTCTCTCTTTATTTTTTGTCATCCCACCACTGAATTATGGATGAAAGCCCGGGCTTTAAAATTTGTTCTTTAATTTTTATCCCTTCAACAAATTTCATATGAACCAGGCAACAAATTGGAGATTTGGGACTTAATACACATCTCAGTAGTTGAGACTTCAAATTTATTTCAAAAATTCAACACTAAGTAGGATATAATCTATAAATGAGTTTGGGATTCCAAAAGTTATGTCAATTGAAAAAATGGAAATAAAATACAAAAAAAGTCCAACCGTTCATTACAATGTCATACACTAAAAATCACAAAATCTACTAAGTTTTTTTATATAGAGGTATTGCAATGCCGTAATGAACTATAAAAGCGTCAAGCAAATGATTTTTTTTTTTTTTTACCATGAAAATCAATCCACATAAGCCACTCGAATCTACAATTTAATAGGTGAGAAAATTGAAAGAAAACAAATAATATATATTACTAAATCTAGAAACTTATTTCCAAATTGTTATTGTTGTTTTCCAAAACATTATTTACTAACAAAAACAATGATTACCATTAACTGAGCCACATAATCATAAATGGGAAATATTTTTTTTTTCCTTTCTAAGCTCCCAATGATTGGAAAACCTAATTCTCAACAAGCATATTCCAACCTTTTTCTTTTTCTCAGCAATACAACAGAGCAAAATGTGCAATACAAGTACAGATTAGGACCTTAATACCAAAATCAAGATGAGTGGAGAAAGAATACCAAAGCGACAGACGAAACTAGGGCATAAGTAGCACAGAGAGTGTAAAAGATCCCATCTTGCCATTGAACCGAATCATTGATCTCGTCCCACCAGTTCGAAGTCAGAGCTCCGATGTCAATCGACGACGGGAAGCTCAGTGGCATTCTCGTCATTTCACTTGACCTCCCAGAGCTTCAAAAGCAGAGAGAGCGAGAGCTGCGAAGTAGAGAAACTGTGAAAAGTCAAACTCAACAAACATTAAAGAGAGATGAGAAGCAGAGAAACGTGTGAGCTTTGCAAACAAGAAGAGTATAGAGAGAGAAAGGGTAGAGAGAGAAAGATCTGAAGGGATAGTGTGTGTGTCTACCAGATGGTCTAAGAGGCTGTAGGGCTGTTCTTGGTCGCTCTCACCTAAGCTTCCAGTCCTCACCCGCTCTTCTTTCCTTCTCGGCCTTCTCTTTTTGGAAATTTAGACAGGGTAGTTGTATAAATAAATGTGTGTAATAAGTAACATTTATATTTGCTATTTGAATTAAATTCAAGAAAATTTAGTTTTAAAAAATTCGAGCAAGTGATGTTATGATGTCCGATTTTATTTTTTAATTAAGAATATTTTAGGTTTTCGGACTTGTATTTAAATAATGCAAATATTTTGCAGAAATTACGAGAAAAAATAAAAAAATCATAAGTCATCCTTACGAAAGAAGAAAGGGGATGCTATAATAATTTTTTAAAAATTAAAAATTTTTCTTGCACTTTTTATTCTCTTTTCTCCTATTAAATAAAATAAGATATTTTTTTATTCTCTTTTTTTTCATTTAATAATAATAAAAAAAAGCAGAAAGTACATAATATTTTTGCTATAATGTCTCGTTCATCTATTCTTTTTTGAATTCAATATAATTTTCTTTCATCTTAATAAATAGAGCATAAGAATTTAACTGTCCATATACTAGACATTCTTGAACATAAAAGTTTATGTTTAGTTGTGTCAATGTATAAGGTTAAAAATATATATAGGCCTATATTAACACTTAATATGCGCACAAGCATTGGTATATGCTTTTTGTGTGTAATGGCAAAAAAAAAATGTACAAAATCAAATTGCATATGATGCATAGTGGAATTTGAGGTGGTTAATGTTATTTCTCTACTCGTTTTTTTGAACAGAATTCTATTTTAAGTCTAAAGTTTGGCCAAAGGAATGATTCGAATATTCTATATCACGAATTAACTATGCTTCGATATTCACGTTCAAAAATATGATAATTTTTAAATATTTTAAAAAGAAAACGAAACAAATTTAATGTTTTATTTTTTTTGGGTGGGCATTATTGATTTTTGTTTAAAGATCTAAACTCAGTGGTCCATAATTACATGACCCTTTAAAGATCATGACATGCCATTATTTTATTTTATTATTATTATTGTTTTGGGGTGAAAAATGGCATACCATATTGGCAGGAATTGCCTCCCTCAATATTTTATTATTATTTTTTTAATGTACCATGCTATATATATAATTTTTACTAATATATCATACTATTGTTTTTTGAATATATACATATAAAATATTGCTAATACCCTCTAAATTATTATAAAGTTTCAATCTTGTGCCCCTATGTTGGTAAAACAAACAAACTAAAAATAAATTATTTAGTGATACAGTAATTATATGTAAAAGATAAATTTGAGAAAATAAATAATGTAAGGTCGTAAAAAGTAAAAAAAAAATAATCCCTCAATTGGTTGAGACAGCTCTAGGAATTAATAAAGTGCGTTGTTTGATGTGTTTGTTTTTTTCCTTTCGGCCTGTTTTTTCTCCTGGCCACAAAATAGGAAAAAAAAAATATTGCTTATTGAGACTATTTATGAATATTAAAGCAATTCTTTATCAAACTCGTCAATTTGGTCCTAAATCTTTGTGATAATAATACTTCATTTATTCTTCTGATTATTCGAAATGATAAATAAATCAGCTAGTTAATATATCAATAATTATGTACTTACTTTTTCTTAGTGAGTAATACGATACTCAAATCGATTTCTGGGGGACTCTTATGACAGTGGCTAACAAGAACTTCTCTATAATTATCATAGAATTTAATCTCTCCTCTTATACTATTTCAATTAATAATAAACACATCAATCGGTTTTAAAAACTTATGACAATTTTATCAATTTTTCATTGGTTATTAAATATTCGACCATAAATGTTCTAGTTATTAAATTTTAATCAAAATATTTTACCTTTTGTTTATCAAAATATTTAACTAAATAGAGCCTGCATTCTGTCATTACAATGAATAATGCTCCCAGTGTGTATTTCACTGTTGATTGAATAAAGTTTTGTACATATATAATTATATATTTGATTGCAAGGGCTAGATGTGTGATTAATATGATTGCAAGGGCTAGATGTGTGATTAACTTGAATTTAAGGCATAAAAAAATAAAAAAATAAAAAATAAAATAAAAAAAAGAAAAAAAAAAAAGTGTACAATAAAATTCAAGGAGGAGCTCATTGTGAGCACCTCTTTTACAATCATTAAATTTAAGAGATTGTAGGATATATCAGTTAGACTCTGTTAATACTTGTGAGTCATGTGGTTCTGTCTTGTTGGGTCTTTTGATCCTCTCTGTTATATACGTTTTGTTTTGTTTATTTGTTTTGGATGTGGGTTATAGTTAGATATGTCTCTCGTAGATGTCGTAGGGGCGTTGTTTTTGTCTGGAGAAAAAAAAAAAAAAAACAAAAAAATTTTAAGAGATTGTAGGATATACTTGAATATTTTATTGACATGACATACAAAGTAACAAATGTGACATGCCACGTGTTGCACCTGATAAGATACTGTACTAAAAGTTTATATATTGAACTATATTATACTCCGTACTTTGCAAGCTACAAAATATATAATTTTTGCAAACTGATGTGTATCCATGGGTTATTATATGTTGTCCCATGTGAGCTTGCAGTCAAAGGGTTCAAATGAAAATTATTGGGATGTATAGATCCCGCTTCTCTTTCAAATCACATATTCTGCAATGTTTTGGAGGAAGTATTTGCCTTATAATCTAAGAGCAATGATATTTGTAATGTTTCTGTTTTTCGCTATTTTCTTTTTTTTTGAAATTTTTATTATTGTAAGGGTATTTTCGTCTTTTGTCCTTTTTCGTACCGGACACTGTTGAGTGTGCGGGTTGTGTCCTAGAATTATTTGGGGCATTTCATTGAGTTCATAACTCCTTGAAATGCAATGATGATTATTTTGGCATTTTTTAGTTTTTCGAGTCGGACGGTCCCGTGTGAGACCCGCTACCAGAACTGTTACTTACGGGGTTATTGTTTGGATCCATTTGCACCATATCAATTTTATTTAATGTGTTTTATGTGACTGCAAATTAATATGTGCATATGTGTATATATTTGTATGTGGGGGTGAAATGAAAACAAAAGAAAAGGAGAAAAGAACTTAAAATTTGGTGGGACCCATAACCTTTTTATGTTTTCATGATGCCACATTTTGGTTCCATATCTCTCAATTCTCTCTCACTCCCTTGAGTCTTTCTCCCCCATTTTAGACTCTTCTTTTTCTTTTTCTTGGCTTCAAGATTCAATTCTTGATTACTCCATCAATACTTGGAATTTTTGGAAGCCATTTGCGGCAATTCGAAGAGCTCAGCGAGACCTTCACGTTGATGTAAAAAAGTTCTTGTTTGGCTAAGCATGCAATTTCAAAAATTTTAGGGTTAAATTGGGAATTTTCATCTAACTTGAGGAAGTGGTCTCTAATACTCAATTTTCTTGTTCCTTTGTGAGTTTTTCTACCTTAATTGTTGTCAAGCATGATTAATTTGAATTGATTGTTTCTTATATGACTTGATTTTGTATATGAAGCATGCAAGTGTGCAACTATGTGTGATTGTTGATTTGTATGAAAGGCATGCCAAAATGTTGATTTTTCTATGTTATTGTGTTGACAAATTGGTAGAAATGATACATGGAAGCATGTGTAAATTTTTTAGAATTATTGTAAAGCATGCTTATTTGTGTAGTATAAAATCCCTTATTGACATAACATTGGAAGTATGAGACATACATGCATATCAAGGGGCATGAATGAAGGAAAATGATTTGGAATAAATGAAAAAGGGATTTGTGGGGAAATGTTTTGATTAAACGGTTTTGAGAAAACCCGGTCGCCGCGGAGTCACCAAAGGGCCGGTGTGTTAATGTAACCTAGAGGAAACTAGGGAGTTTGCCCTAGCGTGATTGAGCTATCTGGGCTCCAAATGGAGCCGCGAGGGTGCCAAAGGTCAGGGACAGTAGCTAACCCTTCTATCGTGTCGCTGCGAAGTCACCAAATGACGAGTTATATTAGCAATTTGTGAAGTGATAAATGTTTTATGAAAATAAGGAGTGACATGCATGGCGTTGCATTCATGGTACGACATTTACTCGTTTTGAATTGGGAATTGATATTATATTTTTCCTGGCTTAGTATGACCCCGCTTCCTATTATTCCATTCATTATTTGGATTCACGGGGTTACAAGAGGTGTGTCTTATGCACCACTTACTGAGCAATTTGCTCATCCCTTTATATTTAACATTTTTTTCAGGATACGGAAAAGAAGTAGTGGACGATAATCTACCCTAGTTGTAGCTTGGAGTAGAAAAATGTCTCTTTTGCTATCTTTTGTATTTGGGCCTAATTTTGTAAAGTGTTGACTAAAGATGTATTACTTTGTAACAAGTGATGTATTTAGGTTCATTTTGTATATGTCCATTGAGGAAATGTAATTAACTTTTAATCACACTAAATTCTTTAGTGTATTTTAAGTAACGTATCGTAAATTATGTTATATGTATGTGAGTGTAGTGGTGTGAGTGATTGGTTATCAAATGTTGGTGTATCTTGGTTTTCTTTGGACAGTGAGCAATTGAGTGTGGATAACCCAAAACCAGTCGACGTGAAATCCCATATGTCGACTGAATGACCTGAACCAGTGACGTGTAGCTTTCCACATGTCGACCGGTATCTTGGCAGTGAGCATTTCCTTTGTACAAGTCTTTAACCAGTGGATGTGTAACTTCTCATACGTCGACCGATATCTCCAAATTTTGGGCAGTGAGCTATGTTATTGTGCATAACCCAAATCAGTCGACGTAAATTGTACATACGTTGACTGGTTCCTGTTCCACACATTTTTTATTTAGTTTCCCTAATTATCCTTTACCAACTATTTTAAAGATGCCAGTAATTACTTTATGACCCAATAAAATACAATAATTATATTTTAACCATAGAAAAAACTATATTGCTCTGGACTTTATTTTATTTATTATGTGACACGAGTAAATGACTATTATACCCTTAGAGTCTCAAACCATTAGAATTGTGACAAATGACTATCTTGCCCTTGTTGGACTTTTATATATAAATTTTACGTGAAAGGACCGTATTATCCTTGGATGATTTTTGGATCGGGCAAGGACTTGTTTAATGATCCGGATCCGGTAGATTTGGGTCGTTACAATACTTACATAGACTATTTTAACTCATTAATTTCATTGAAGGAATTTATATTCATTTAATAGAGTGGATAAGTTCAAACATGATTCTCATTTATTATATTAAAAGGGATAGAAATTCTTCAATTAGACAAATAGGTTTGAGATTTTGGTGCAGCAATTATTTTCCACCAACTATTTTAACCTATAGGTCTAATTAAAGGGATTTCTATCCATTTGATGAAGTGGATAAGCTCAAACATGGATCCCTTTCATTACATAAAAGGAATAGAAACCTTTCAATTAGACAAAATAAATTTGAAATTTCCGTGCAGCAATTATTTTCCATAATCTAATTACATATTTTTATTGAGAATGATCAAAATTATAAGATCTCCCGTTAACTACTCACCATTTAGTGGAGTTTTATTTTTGAGATTCCAATTTGTATTGGCGAGTGTAATTGCTGATGTAAGCGGGGGTGGTACACAATAATCTTTTCTGAAATAATAATTGTTGCCTTTCGAAAATAAATAAATAACTGAATAATTTAGACTCTTTTATAAAAGTACCACTTTGTCCTGGTGCTCGAAAGAACTTTGTAAAAGTGTTTTCAATTGTTTATTTCCCATGACAGGTCGCACCAAGCAATTTACAGAACATTGAGGCAATATATACCAATTCGTTTCCATTACATTCTCTACAAAATTGTTCTCTCTTGTTCTTGACAGTGAATCATCATTTAATCTAAACATGAAAATTTTCCATTCCACGCAGTTTCTATAGATTTACGCTTTAGATAATCCCAACTCCCGAGCCTATTTGCAAATGAAAGCTAGCATAATATTAGAGAGCCAAACACACTCATAAGAGAGTGTCCTACTTTAGCACAACGCCATAAGAGGAGTATACGGCAAAAAGGGTGTTGATTGATGACATCTGCTCATAGTCTTGGCTGCAAGACACTCCTGCAAACCACTCCTGCTAGACTGAACAACGTTGCTGCTCCGATTCCCAATCAGCTTATTTGAGAGTTGGGACACCGCAAACTCCATGCTTAACCTTTCACCAAGCTAATGGCAAAAGTACAATAATTCAGCAGCTGCTCATACAATCAAAATGGCATATATATATATATATATATATATATATATATACAGAAATCCAAGATATGAGGCTCAATACAAATACTTACTGAATCCCTGAATTTTGAAAACAGATCAGAGAGGTTCGATGGGAAAAAAGAATTTAATCCCTCTTCTAGATGACAACCGGCCCTCAATGATAACCTGGAACATTTTCTCAGCTGCTCCACAGCAAATGGATTGAACATAACAATCTCATCTATCCGATTCAGTAACTAAAATCTAAATTTTTTTCCTTCCTGCCATATAACCAGAGAAAGCAATAACCATGAAGAAAGAAAACAGCATTGGAAGAAGAACCTCAATTAGTGAGGCAAAAATACCTCACATTCAGGGAAAAGAAAGTAACAAGTACAAATAGGAAAGCTTTGTCAAGTAAAACTCATTTTGGCAATTGAGACAAATATTTTGAAAACAGAAATTTATAGATTAACCACTTTCAAAACGTGACATTAACATTCTAATTGTTTATGGTATCCTGCTAAATTTATATATTAGACTTGACATCCATGAATGCTTCGAGTGGTGGTTATATGCAAGTACATTTTTTTTAAAGCGCACCTGGACAAGTACATACTTGTCAAGGGGGACACATATAGGCACATGTACTATCCGTGCATATAAATATGTATTTAGGTGCATGTATCATCATAAAAAGATGTATATGTTCATATAGATGTTTAAAGAAATATATATATGAATTTGAATATGAATTTTATAGGAACCTGTATAGGTATGGTATATAGGTACAGGAAAAGCGTTCATAGATATGTGTGTGTATGACATATGACATATAAAGGCAAATAATGTCGGGTAATTGATACAGCTATATAGGCGCATATAAACTGTATTTTTGAAAACATAGATCCATATAGGTGTATATGGGTGCATAGGTATGTGCGTGTATACATGATGCACACACACATATATAAATAGATAAAAATATTCATACATGCCTATAAAACACATGTTTAGAACATATAGTATGGTAGTGGGGTCAAACCAGGAAGAGTATTCTTTTGCTTTACAAAAGCAAAACGCTTTTGTCCCTTTCTTCCTTTGTTAGGTGAAAAAAATGTTTTTTTGGTCTTTATAAACTCTATTTTATTTCTTTATTTATATATGAATATATATTTTTATCAATGGATATTAGCCTGGATGGTATGATCTCTTCTCTTCAAATGGAAGGTTGAATTTTTGAGTACTGCTAGGAGCAACATTGTGGGCGTGCGTGCATTGGGGGAGAAGTATTTTTTAGCATATATACAAAATCGTAGGTGCAGATGTATATAAATGCATATATAGGCACATAGATGCCTATATTTACATGCATCATCATATAAGTGTAGTAGTAGGGATTACAATCTTTATTCTTTGTGCCTACGAAGCATTGTGTACTTCGTTGCCAAAAAAAAAACACAGCGTGGTGGTAGGGATGTATCATATATAGCATGGTATTATAGGCCTCTTTATACATGTATATCTCGTATATCTCATATTATTGTATTATGATGAGGGAAAACCATGATAAATTAAGTAAAACATTCTATTACCATACAGTACACAACACTATAAATTCAAATGAAAATTCAGCCAATATATATATATATATATATATATATATATATATATAAAAAGGGCTAGCACAATCAATGCGGGATCTGGGGAGGGTCAGATATATGCAGACTTAGTCTGGAAGGTATGATCTCTCATCCCATATGGGAGAGGTTGATTTTTCGAGCCCTGCTAGGGGCAACAATGCTGGCATGTGTGCTTTTGCTTGAAGTTTCAAAAATAAAATTAAAAAACAGTATTTTTAGCATATAGATCCGTGTATGCATATATGGGTGAAAATGGCTCATCTGCATTCATACATATACATAATCGTAGGTGCAAATGCATATATAGGCACATATATGTAAATATATGCCTATATATACATTATCATCATATAAGTATGGCAGTAGGGATTACAATCTCTATTCTTTGTGCCTAAGAAGCATTGTGTACTTTGTTTGAAAAAAAAATAATAATAATAGGAAGTTGGTAGGGATGTATCATATATAATGTATAGCATGGTAGTTTGGAACCTGGGGTCGAATATGAATTAATTAAGTAAAGAAACGCATTTTTTAGTAAATAGAACATATACACATACATAGGTCATACGGTATATATATCCGCGTTCATGACATTATAAACAACCTGCACAGAGATGTATAGAAGCATGCATAGGATCACATATGTACATATAGGCCTCTATACACACATGTATATCTCATACATAGTATTATAATGAGGTAAAACCATGACAAATTACGTAAAGGAATCTATTACTAGACAGTTCAAAACAAAATAAATTGAAATGCAAATTCAACTATTATATAAATATATATATAAAGGGCTAGCACAAGAGCCAATGCAGTGTTTGGAGAGGGTCAAATGTATGCAGCCTTACCTCCAGGTCACACTGGAACAGCCTTACCGTTGCGCTAAGGCCAACCCTCATTTTACATATATATATATATATCCAGAAGTTCAACTTGTTATTGACCCCATCTTCTTCAGAAATAACTTGAGCAGCATGTCCGACAAGACTAGCAAGTATTCGCTTATTTCCCAAATCCGACGTAATAATAACGATAGTGTTACATAAATCAACAATGCATCCGCTTATGTACCAAGCACTGAAAGTAGAGCACGTACCGAAAACAGACATTTGGGCTTTTTCAATCTGATCAACAAGGAGAACACGGTATGGCTTCATCTTGATGGCCTCAAGGAGCCCCAAACCATGTTGCTCATGGCTATGATGCCTAAAATGCCACAAAGTACTGGTTATATTATACATAAGGAATAATAATAACAGAGGTGTATATAATTAAAAAGGAATCAATATAATAAACATGAATAAACAACGCCAATTTCACGCACAATGGCAGGTCCAAAGATCCACCCATCAGCTGAAAAAATGAATCAGGATCACTATATTCTTGCATGTTGATTTCAGTCACCATCTGTGCCTCGTCATCAGTACCAAAGAGCTCAGCAAGACCTTTTACGAGATCTGCTTTACCAACACATGTGAGACCCAAGAATAGAAAAGACTTGACAGGATGATGCGGCAAACTATGAGGTGCATCAATAGAGCTCCATACAGCCTCTGCTACAACATCAATTGCCTGATATTTTCCCTCCAAATTACCATATAATATTGTTCGAAGACCCTCCAACCTACCGCTAGCCCTTTCACCACCCTGCTCTCTATAACTAGATTCTGCTTCTTCATTCAAGAAATTCACTGGTGCCTAAGAAATATATTGGCAAAAGATCAATGAGAAGTAAAATTCAATTAAATCCATTCATTCATTGATGAAAAAGAAGATAAGATGAAGATATCTACCAATTTATCATCATTGCACACTAAGTTGTTTTTAGCTGTATTTATGAGACCATCCACCTTATCACCCAAATGACGAACTGCCAGAGTAATATCATTTGGATCGGCTCTATTTTGTGAATCCAGTGTAGTTATCAATTCAAGGTATGCTTTCCATAAAGTGTAAAAATTGTTGACATATTCCTTCTCTTTCAAGTACACACGTCTCAATTCTTTTAAAGATTCTTTGAACCGGCTGGAAATATCATCGCCCAATGGAAATCTTCTGTTCTCCTTTCTGTAAGACAACTCATCCGTTCCCGTAAGGGAATCAATATAAATTGTTGAGTTAGCATTTATTTTGTTCTCAGATACCATCTCAGAAAGCACAGGATCAACATTCTTCTCTAGCCAAATCTTCAAACCTTCTACGCCTAACTGTTACAAAATTAGAAGCTAGTAAACCTGTCCATTAGGTTAAAAATCTACAGAGAGTAAGGAGTTGTGGAAAGAAGTGATCGATGGTAATGAGTTATAATTCTAGCATGCTTGTATTGCAATGCTACGACGGGCAGAGATTTTAAATTGATGAAGAAAATGCAGGTGAGAAAAACAATCAAATATGAATGTTAACAGAAAAAAACAGAAGGCAAGAAACTAATTTTATTAAAGAAAACGTTAAGAAAACAATTCACTTGGTAAGTTAGAGGAAGCCAAAAAAAGAAGTTGCAAACAAGATGCGTAGCACTTCTTGAAATTGTCTACTTATAGTCACAGGTAGCAAATCCTATTGGAACATAATTTTCCTGTTTCTGGGGCAACGGAGGTTGTCCCCACAGCCTTCAGGGGTTGAATTATGTGCTTCAGATACCCATATTCACCCCCAAAACAAATCATCTTTCAACAGATATCTGCTTAGGAGCAGATGAGAAAACAGAAAAGAGCCAAAAGAAACAAAATGAAAAGAAAACTGTAAGTAATTGGGTAACAATTTACTTTATGAAGTACGAACAAGGGGAAACAGATGAGGAGTGGACTTAAATCAAGGAACAAAAAGATGAAGGGAGATATAGTCTACGAAGAGAAATAATAGCCACTAATTCCATTGTGGTTTCTTTGCTTCTCCTTGATTCCTTGTAAGATTGATCACATGCACAATTGTTTTACTAGTATGAATTCATTGGTACATAATCATTTGACCTCTTAAAATCTTGTTGGAAAAAATAAAAATGGTTCCCCTAGTTAATCTTCAATTAAAATTACAAATTCATTCAATACCTTTTTCATGGAGAAAATTATTACCTAACTTTTACAATATTTGGCTCCCATTTTATACTTAGGCTCCATTTGTTTGGATGTAAAATATTTTTTTATATTTTGATGTTGGTTGTCATAAAATTTTCAAAAGAAAAAAAAAATTGAAATCTTACAAAAATAATTTACTCATCAATTTTCGACAAGTTATTTTATACGCCCTGCCCAATGAACTCGACCTCAACCTCAAATAGACCTTTGCCAAAAATCGAAAAAGTACAAATAAAAATATATATTACCTAAAAAAGGCTCCGAAAAAAATATTTAACGCCGAAACAAACAGAGCCTTAATTGACAGGAATTCAAAAGATATATATACATATATGTGGGTACATATATATGTATAAATACAGATGCATGAACACCACATGAAAATCCAACAGTGATAACTAAACTGGACTGTCAAATATGCCAAAGCAATCAAATCCTTGGTTTAGCCCAAAGACACAAAAGCATGCACCCTATAATAAAGTAGAGCCACAATGATGCATCTCAGGATGTCTTTTGCATAACAAACAAATAGCAATAGAGAACACTAAGCTCTTCCACTGTAAGCTAATGTTCTTTTAACCAAAACTATCAAGATCCACTGAATTTGGAAGGAACAAGACCCCAAGCAGGATTACCAAGCATAGTTTTGCTTAAGGTAGTTCATCTTAGGTCAAATCAAAGGATTGCAAGACTATATCCTTTAACCGAAATATCAACATTCACAAGAAGGAGATTAAATAAAAAGATACTTACTGTTAAACAAGAAGACTTAAAAATGATACTTCTTAATGTAGCATGCGATGGGTAAACAATGAGATCATATTTCCCTATGTGATATGCTCTTTCCCTAATCTTAATCCTCGCAATTGCATTGAGATGTGGCAGGGAAAGGCTATTGAAAACGATAACATCATCCAAAAGTTCAAGCAATTCACCTTTGAACCTCTTTTTTGCCTGCAAAAGATGCAGCACAAAGTTAGTCACCACGTGTAGTTAAGGCTAAAAAAAGAAAAAAGAAAAGACCACGAGAAAATAAGTAGGAAGCTCCTAATACCAAGCATACATTTACAATAAAACTGACCAATCTCACAGTGTCACTCTTCCTACCACATCTTACCTCTCCGAGAACAGGGAGGCAACCACAAGCACGTTCCCCTTTCCAAATAGCATGAACATAGAACCCATACATGGTACAAGTTGTGCAACTTGGAACCTTCTCCAAACAATTGCAGAGCCAATGCTGGAATAAACCCTTTCCAACATCTGAAGTCATGATAACCAATGATTTGGTGAAGTCAACTTCATTTCCCTGTCTGTCTATTAGACTACCATGTCTCAAGATGTCAAGAAGAATGTCAATGGCATAGTTATTGACCTTGTCAACATTGTCAAACAAAAGAACACAAAAAGGCCTATTATTAACAGCCTCTATAAGCTTCCCACCCACCCCATGCCCCTCAAGGTTGTATCCACTGAAAACAATAAAAACAAAAAATAAAGCAATATAATTGTATAGAAGTAAACAGATCAGTCAGCACAGAGAACATTACCTGGAGCGAATACCAAGAATGCATGAGTCACATCCAACGGAATGTAAATCCCTGTATTCTGACATGTCGAATCTTATCACTGCGTCTCTGCTGTCAAACATGTGCCACACAAGTTCGCCAACAAGCGCTTTTGACCTGCTATGACAAGGACCCAGGAAGAGAAATGATCCAATGGGACGGCGCCTACTTCCATCATGCCTAGACATCAACAAAACACTGGAGATTTTTTCAATAACATGATTATGTTCAACCAACAGTTCACTCGGATCGTGTTAAAGTGTCACCAATGGTGGCTTATAATTAAACAGAATCCAAGAAACAGGAACGCCAGTCACAAGGCTTGCTACCTACACAGAAGACATGGTAAAACCAAAATTTATCACAATTATATCATAACATTAGGAAACCACGCAAAGCCTAGACAACCCAAGGCCTACGCTGAAATGGACCAAAGCATATGCACCTCTGCAATCCTACGTAAATGAACAGTTAAGGCGAACTTGAAGTTTTCACTAGTTGATTGAAAGAGTTTAGTCATAGTGTCACAATTTTTTAAACTCTTCAGAAGAGGGAACCATCTCCTGCGCTGATTCTAAATCCAGATGTTGCAGTAGCTCCATATGCACCTGTTTCAACATGCAAATCTCCACAAACCTTTGTCTTGCTGTCTCCTGAAACTGCTTCCACTGCTTCAAATATCTATCCCATATCACTTCTGCATATTTATTTTCTATCTCCAGCTGAAGCAGAGTCATGCATATAAAATCAATTATATTAACTAGAGTTTGCTTACGCTTAATTTCTAAGAAATGAGGGGTAACGTTCGGAAAAAATGACAGCTAGCATGTACTTACATAGAATAAAAATTTGGCTGGTATGATCCTTCTCTTTTTTAATTTCATTCAATTCAACACGTGAGCGATAGAGCATATATCCAAATTTATCCAAACAAGTCTCCTTCGCATCGACACTTGTGACAAGCTTATGTCTCAGTCTCTCACAGGCTTTTTCCAGCACCTCAAGTGCCTTCTTTTGTAGGATCACCACTTGGTTATTATCAACTCCTCCTCCTCCTCCATTGGACAATAAAGCTGAACGACGATGAGGAGGATGAGTAAGAAGACGAGAAGGAGGAAGAGCAGGAGGAGGAGAAGAAGACAATGATGAGAATCAATGTTAGCCCACTCAAAATCAGAGCACCTCCTAGCTATGCTGTATGCTTGCACCACAGCTCACATCAATGTGGACACCATACTTCCTCTCTAACTTCACCATGTCTTCAGATTTAATCTTGTTTACAAGTCGCTCCATCGTACCTTCCATTTCAACTATGGTCGACATCTACAATAAAAATTCCATGCCAAAAACATAACTTAAAGTCAGACTTGTTACATCAAAAGGACTAAACTTTCAGTTTGATCATTACGAATGATGTTTTCTTTCTCTTAATTGAGTTGTTAACATGGTTCTCTAAATGCCAGCCAGAAGCAGATCAATTGAAGTCTCAGACGCGTCACAACAAAAGAACTACAATTTAAGTTAAACCAGGGTGAACGAATTTTCTTGTATCTTAATTGAGTTGTTAAGATGGTTCTCTACATGCCATAAGCAGATAAATTGAAGTCAGACTCAGTACAACATAAACCAAAATTTCAGTTTGACCACTATGAATGAAAAAGTCCAATTTTCTTAGTTTAGTTGTTAAACTTGTTAAGATAGTCCTCTACATTGCATACATATACACCAAACACAAGTAATTAGACTTCAGAATGTCCCAACACCATAGATTTCTTCTCCTATTCAAAATATGAGGGCATATAAATCAGAGAGAAAAAAATACTAATGTTATGTTTGGTGGCCCCGAATTTGTGGTTTGAATTTGAAATCAGAGAAAATTTAGTACAAATTTTGAACTATACTTCCTCCTATCCCAAATCCAAGGCACGGATTCGCTGCTCCCAAGCATAACGAACTCCATTGTATTCAATTAGGAAACATAGTAAGTAAGATGTGAGCGTATAACATATAGAAAGGGATAGGCCCGCAGACTTACATTCACGTGAAGAGGTGGTTTTTAATTTTGAACTCGTGCCCTCTAGGTCTGAACAACTTATTAGAGTGTATATAAATCAAATATAACATTAGAATGAACTAACTGTTCAATAGAGTTTCTACTGGAAATACTCTGAGACTCAGCACAATCAGAAAACGACGTAGAAACCCTAATATCTAAATAAGTACCAGAGACGATGCTGGATAAGAATTACCGATTCGGTGTCCAATGGAGCTGCAGCTATTGGCATTCTTTCGTGAGCCTATAGTCTATGCAGTTCGGTACAGTATCAAATGCGCCGTGTGTATATATATATATATATAACGTTTCTTGCAGAGCCTTCCTTTCTCAGAACTCGATTTGAGGACTGGTCTGGACTTCTCTAGTCTAGTGATCAATATAAAAAAAACACAAATGGTGGACGATCATGATTTGAGAGCGTCTAGACTTCTCTAGTCTAGTGATCAATATAAAAAAAAAACAAATGGTGGACGATCATGATATAGTTGGAGATTAAGAACTAATATCGGGCTCTGATACTTATAAAAATTACATATAAATGGAGTCAAAGTTCCATATTTACTTAGAGGCTGAGTCAAAGTTTCATATTTCTCTCAAATGGATTGCTGAGGTGGCACATAGTTTTTTACTGTTTAGAAATTGTGGTGCCTAAAATACCCTTTCGCGAAGGTATTACTTTTTCTTCGAAGGTACTACTTTTTTGAACTGAAGGTACTACTTTTTAGCGTCCAGGTACTATGTTTTTTAAACACCCGCGAAGATACTACTTTTTCTCCGAAGGTACTACTTTTTTGAACGGAAGGCACTACTTTTTTAAACTGAACGTACTACTTTTTTATTAGGAAAGGGCATTTTAGGCACCATAATTTTCTAAACAGTAAAAAATCATGTGCCACCTCAACAATCCATTTTAGAGAAATATGAAATTTTGACTCAGTATCTAAGTAAATATGGAACGTCCTCCGTCCATTTATATGTAATTTTCCCTAATTATAATGGGAGCATGTTTTATCAAAAGTGATATTTTGTCGATATATTTTATAATTATAAATAAGGCAACTTTTCATAAAATTCTCTTACTAAAAAAAACTTCGCAAATAATTGGTCATTACTAAGATAATATAACAAATTAAAATGCATGGGAATTCTATTTGAGAAAATTATCACGAAGGTGTTCTCATTGGTTTACCTATATTTAAATAAGATCGTTATAAAATCTTACAATGAATAAAGGATCAGTTTAGGTGTTGTCATTGATCTATCAATATTCGAATAAGATAACATAACGGAATTTTATATGGTCTAAGTAAATTATAAAATAATATTAAAAAAAAAACATAACAAATTGAACGATGTTGTTATTTATCATTATTACTATTCTTATCTTAATTTCATATAATTAATATTATTATTTGTTTTTTTAATTTTTTTTATACTACATATCATTTTACATTCTTTATTTAACTTTATTAGAATCAATTTTAATAACTGAATTCTACTTTACTTTTATGGATCTTCTCACTTTTCTAATTTTTATTTTCATTAGCAAGAAATTTAATACATCATTCATATATTCATTTGTTGTCTTTTTAGGACTCAAAGTCTACCATCTCTACTTTAGCAGGGAGAACGTAGGCCCTCTCATTTTCTTATTACATTTGACTGATTTATGTGAGTTAAAATTAATGTTTTCAATATTCTTAAAGTCGTGATAAAATAGTCTTTAGACTCTTTACTCACATAATATTAGATACGAACTTCCTATCATTTATTCAAATAATTTTGATTTTAATTTTATTTGAGTAATGCTTTTAATGTCTAAACACACTAACTCTTCAATAAATTGAAATAAATATTAAATAATTCATTTGATTTTTACGGATATAAAAATATTGTCTTGTCCTAATGATTTATTATAGAATGCTCTAGCATTATTATTTGAATAAAACTAAAAATAAAATGAAACACAAATAAAATTAAAATTATTTTTATTTATTTATTTATTTTTTGAATACTACTAGTATAGGAGGGTATGAATGTCATCTTATTTTTATAATACGTACTCATCTTTATTGTTGTGTCGGCGTCGGCGTCGGCGTTTTTGTCGCAGTAAACAATTCGGAGTCGCTTGTCTCCGCGACTTCAACGCTGTGCCGTGCGTGGTCAATCGACTGGTAATTTTCTTATTCTGTGTTGTGATTTTGCTGAGTCTCAGTTTTTATTTTTATTTTTTATTATTTTTTTTAGAGCAGAAATGGTATTTGTTTGTTTCTTCTATCAATGGAGGTTGGTTTGATTTTCTTGTTTATTCGATCGAGGTTTTATTTATTTTAATCTTCCCTTAACAACTTCTCTTCATCATAAGCATGTATCCTTTTCTATCTAGTTTCATGTATGTGTGATTTCTGTTTGATGATGGAATAGATGCCAAGTTTAGATCTTCTTGGGTGCAAACAATTCCACTTGAGTGGGGACGGAGTGAGTATTAATTAGGGAAAAAAAATGCCAAAGTTTAGAAGTTGGGCTAGGGTTTTGTTCTGTTTCTGTTATATATACAATCACATATGTACTACTATACGTTATATGCTATATCTATTATGTTTATATTTATATGTTTTATGTTCATATCCTACCCTACTTTTTTGCTTCTAATGAAAACAATGGAGTCTACTTTTGAAATTGAGTCTATTTTTGCTATTTTTGAGAGCACTAAATCGGCCCCTTGATTTAGAATTGGAATTGGAGGAATTAAAAAGTAAAATTAAATTTCCTCCAAATCCAAGGCTCCAATTCAGTGCTCGCAAATGTGTATATTTTTCTCTATTTTGCTGAATTATGTGATTTATGAATAGAGTGCATCAAGTTTTGTTTCTGCATTAGACATTGCTAAATTGCAACACAAAGATTTTTTGTGGAAGCCTATTTTTGATTGATTTGGTGTAGATGTATGGGATGTTTAAGTTATAGTGTTTTTGATGGAACTGTTCTTGTGAAGTCTCACTTCAATTGTTTGTCTCTGGCGTGGAACTGATATTGTAGGATTTCACAAAAAATGGATATGGATATGGAGTGGATGATAGCGTGAGTTGTTCGCAAGGTTCAATTAAGAGAGGTGGTGAAGTTAGAGATGGCTCATGGTGTTTACATTTACGGGGAAGCTGTTGTGCTAGCCTGTGACATTGTTGGGAGAGACTCTGATGTTCAGCGGGCTTACATTGATTCATCATCTTCGTCGTCATCACCATCATATTCTTCTTCTTATTCTTCTTCTTCTTCTCATTTAGCTTCGTCTTTCAATTGTAAGGGAGGACTTGTTAACAACCTAGAGGTAATGCTGCAAAAGAAGGCAGTTTAGCTGCTCGAGAAAGCCTGTGAAAGATTGAGGCACACCTTGTCACAAATGTGGATGAGGCTTCCATAGACATGGCTGAATATATGCTGGATAGCCCGCGTGTTGAATTGAATGAAATTAGGAAAGAGAAGGATCATGTCAGCCAAATTTGGATTCCTCGTGTATGTACCCAGTTGCTGTGCTTTTTCTCCCCCCTTTTTTTTGGCTAGACCACTCATTATTTTGAATTAGTATGAGCAAACTTAAAATTAATGTGGTCGGATTTATCTGCGTGCCCATTTTTTTCAGGTAGAGATGGAATTTAAACTTCTAAATTTTGGATGATGTTAGTGTTTTGGATATGTGGAAGGAGACACTGGCATTCCAGCAAATTCCACAAAGAAGGTTGGAGGATATGGACATGTTGAAACGGGTGCACAGAGAGCTTCTCCAACGTCTTGAATTAGAAGCAGCGCAGAAGAAGGTTCCCTCTTCTGAAGAGTTTCAAAAACTTGGTGCCATTTTGACTGACCTCCTATGAAAGTGCCGTGAAATTTTCAAGCAGAACTTAGTTGTTGGCTCAGATACGATAGCAAAGGTGCATATGCTTGTGTCTTTTTCAGCCCCGGCCACCTTTGGCCTTCGCTAGGCTACATTTTCTGTTATTTCCTCATGTTATGATAAAATTGAAGAACGGATTCTGATTTTACCATGGCTGCTGGTGTAGGTGGCGAGCCCTGTGACTGGCATTCCTGTTTCTTGGCTTCTTAACTCTTTCAAGCCGCCGTTGGAGCCTCAAAGCAAAGTTGGCCTACAGTCTGGTTGGACAAGATCATGTCATCAATGCAATCACCAGTGCCTCGTTAAGGCCTAGGCCCGATGGAAGTGCACCTCATCCGATTGGATCATTTCTCTTCCTGTGCTCTCATCTTGGGACTTCAAATCTTTTTGAAACTCTTGCCAAGAACATTTTTGACAGCAAAGACCTGGTAATAAGATTCGACATGTCAGAATATAGCGATTTGCATTCTGTCCAGTGTGACTCATTCTTCCTCAATGTACGCTCAAGGTAGCTTAACTCGGGAATTCACTCTATGCCGACCAATTTCTTATTTTTTGAAAATTATGCTTAAATGGCTTTATTCTTTATTGTTTTCAAAGACTACAACCATGAGGAGCATGGGGTGGGTGGGAAGCTTATAGAGGCTGTGAAGAATAGGCCGTACTGTGTTATTTTGTTTGAGAATGTTGACAAAGCCAATAACTACGCTATTACCATTATTCTTGATATCTTAAGACACGGTGGACTAATTGACAGTCAGGGAAATGTAGTTGACTTCACCAAAACATTGATAATCATGACTTCAGATGTTGGCAAGAATAAGTTACGGCATTCATTTTTGTGATTGTTTGTGGAAGTTTCCAGATCGCCCCATGAAGGATTGGCATCAAGTCTTGACGAACGAACATGTTTGTGGTTTCATCCCTGTTTTGAAAGAGGTAAGATGAGATAGGAAAATAGAGGAACTGAAGATTAATTTGTTTTATTTTGATGGGCATGCTCAGGGCTTCCTATTTATTTATTTTGCTTATATATTGCTTTTTATCTTTTTATGCTATACACCTTCTGCAGGCAAAAAAAAGAGGTTAAAAAATGAGCTGCTTGAACAACTGGATGATGTTATCGTTTTCAATGATCTCTCCTGTTGCAGTTCAATGCTATTGCAAGGCTCAAACTCCTAAATTTAGCAAATTCTGTGAAACAAAATTGCCTCATTGTATACCCTTCTGAAGCTGCATTAAGAAGTATCACTGTTAAATCTTCTTGTACAACAGTAAGTATCTTTCTAATTATTCTCCTTATGAATGTTGATCTTTTGGTTACAAGGAAGATACAGTTTTGCAATCCTTTTGTGTGAGTTATTCCTCCTGGAAAGCCTAGGCTTGGTATCGTTTCGAACCTTGATCCTTCCGAACTGAGTTAAATGTTGATCTTTTGTCATAAAAAACAAACACTGGTCCAACCTATCAAAAACAAAAAGAAAAGAAAAGAACACCTGGTCCTGCATTTTTTATGCATGCCGAGATGAGCCTTCTCTAGTAAGATGATGTTTTGGTTCTAAGTTGCATTATCAAAACACTTGACTAAATAAGCAGTGAATAAGTGTTGAATCTGTTCACTTGGGTTATCAAACAACACGTTAGAGTTTAGGTTCATCTTTATCAATTGCTGCACCACTGTTAAAATCTACATTTGTGTACTCAAGGTCTTTTACAGAAAAAAAATGCTTAGTGTTCTCTATAGCTATTTGTTAATCAAAAGACTTCTTTAGAGACATTATTATGGCTCGACTTTTTTACAGAGTGCATGCTTTGTTGTCAAGCAATTGACATTGGAGAAAGCCTTTTTTTTTTTGCGGGAAAAGATCGATAGTGTTTTAATTTTTGGATGCTATGCTATTTGAAGCTTCTTGTCAACTTACATAGTGAAGGATGGATGAGAATTTGAGCTTGAGAAACACTAAATAGGTTCACAAGCTCATTGTGGATATTTAATGGTGCATTCGGCTAACCGTTTGAAGGCCTTCATAAGTGCGCCCATATTGAATTTTGGCCTTGGAAACATAATTGTTGGATCAGTTTTGACCATCTAACATTTGTTTGCATTGTAAATTTATCACTAGATTGAATTCTTAATTAACGCTTTATTTTCTCAAATATAAGACTAAGACATGTCTCTCGTTTTTTATTTATTTTAACATTTTCTATTGTTTAGTTTAGTTATCAGCTAAAAGTTTTAACTCCATTCATGTTTGAAACTACTTTTTATTACTACTCTTGGTGTAGAACTTCAAGAACAGCCCTAAGTAGCTAAAACTTACAGAATTCAGTGGCTGAAAGTAGGGATGGCAACGGGGCGGATATGGCACAGGTTTGCCTAAACCCATGACCGCCCCGTTTAATTATTGACAATCACATACCCGACCTGCACCCGGAACAGGCTGAAATCTCATAGTCCATCCCCGCCACGCTTGGAAATGATGGTACCCGTGCCCACCCCGCCGAGGCATTTTTTTTAATTGTGGCCTTAAAACTCACACCACTGATCTTTGACGGTAGAAAAGAATGGAGGCTTCCTGAACATAATCAAATCCACACTACTGATTAATGTGGCAATAGATTTTTAGATTATTACCAATCAGAATATTTTTTTTTTTGATAAGTGCCAATCAGATTATTACCAATCGTCTTTATCATCAAATTCATATATTGCCCTGTACCTTGAAAATTTAGAGCATCTGTTCTTAGATTCTTTCTTATTCCATATCTACTAGCTATAGATCATCTGATATGTTTTCTTCAATAATCATCTGATATCTACTAGGAATCCTGACCTTGTTTCGTGGGTTTGACGAAAGAGGCGAAGAGTGAGGGGGCCATCTGAGAGAGACGAAAAGATCTTACCAGGGACGATGAAGTCGAATTGCCGATCTCTTAGTTGTCCGGAGAGTGGTGACTGCTTGAGGGTTTGGTCTTTGGTGACTTGCAAGAGTTTTCGAGATTGAGATGTGCCACCGTGAGTGATTGTTTTGTGGTGAGGTGAGGGACTGGACTTGGGGTACTTTAGGTTACAAGTTTTAACTTACATATATATAATAATAATAAAGAGTATATATATGGCGGGGCGGGCGGGGTTTTATCAAGCCCCGTCCCTGCCCCGTAACCTGAGACTGGTTTTCTTTTCTCCCCTATACCCTCCCCTACAGGGCATAAACCATTCCCACACTTGTGAAATTAGGGGCGGGATGGGGCGGTTCAAATTGCCTTCCCTAGCCGAGAGTTCAAACAAAAAGGGCTGAAATTTGGAGGTTTGATTGTAGAAATGCAGAGAAATCAAGGAGAGAAGAAATAGAATAAGAGCACCCTATTGGAATCACACCAACAGGTCTAGGCATCACACCTAGCGAAGGTCTCACACCTTCATATTTTGTGAATAACTCACAAAGAAAGTTCATAAGATATTTTTATTCATTCATTCACCGATCAGCTAAGCTTACACTACATTTATTTATAGGATTCTGCTCATGCCTCTTAGAATAACATGGAGCTTAACTTGTGACTTTTGATCTTATCTCATAATTGAAGAAATCAATAAACTTGCAACTCTTCCAATTCCTAACCCATGACTTAAAAACAAATAAAAACTGCCTTATTTGCATCATAATGCCCACTAAACTCATAAATGATGCAACTTGAAAAAATACCCAATTATTCAAGACTCCAAGTGGATCCACATCATCTAAAACATGCCAAATTGAGTCTTAGAATCCTCCTTTCCGCACCTTTTGTACACATTTAAAGATTGCTGCCATTGATCTCCATCAACTCTATTCCTGGGATTCATTTTCCTGATGGAAGCCGAGGGCGAAGTTTCCCAACATCCATCTATAGGATTTGTAAAGTTCTCATACTTAAACAATCATGTAGATGTTGCAACTTACTAGTTTTTATATGTACACATATGTAGGCCCAAATATTTGTATATATAAATGCACACACATGCATCTATATTTAAAAAGGAGCATAGGTACATGGAATTGAAGTTTCATAAATATATCTCTATAACAACAGCAAAAACCAAAGCCTTTCCCCAATTATTTCGGATCGGCTACATGAATCCTATGTTTCCATTCTACCCTATCAAAGGCCATGGCCTCAATCAAACTATAATATTTCTTATTTTTATTTTTCTGCTGGGCCCACAAAGCACTAACTTATTACATTGTTATATCATCTTTTGGCTGATCATTTTTCCCCCAAAAATCGTGACCAAGCTTTCTCTCACTACCAGAACTCTCTATCTCTCTATATCTACATCATTAAGGCCTTGATTTCTCTCTCGTTTTTGAGAGATTTTTTGGTGCTGTTTGCGGCGAAACGGAAAGCTCGGCGAGATTTTCAAGTTGATGTAAGCAATTTCATCTTTGGCCAACCAGAGAATTTTCAAAAATTGGGCTTGGAATTAGGGTTTTTGCATCTAAGTGAGGTAGGGGTGCTCTAATTCATGTTTTCTTTGATCTTTTGTGAATTTTCCCCCTTTAATTTGATTATAAGCATGTTTAATTTTAGCAATTTTGCCTATATTGTTATGATTGTATGTAACTAAGGTGATGGATGTATTATATGTGTTAATTGAACCTATGATTATGATTATATACTTGGTGGTGAAGATACATGCTTAGTATTGATATTTTAGATGCCCCATGATTTTTAATTGTTAAGAAAAGTAATGTTGAAGTTATGAAAATAAATATTATGATTTTTCCTTAATAATGTGATCGTGATTTAGATGGAATGTATTGGATTTATTTTAAATTTTTCTTGAAAAATTGCCATGATGCTAGATATATGATGTGTATCTATATGTGTGTTATGTGTAAATAATATATGTGCGTATGATTTGTTGATTGGATATGGAAAGCATGCTTTTGTGATTATGTTGAATTAAAGCATGCTATAAATTCATGAGAAAATTATTCTTTATTATGAAATGTTGTTAAGGTTTAATGATGTGAAAATTATGGTAAATTGTGAAGCATGAAGTATTCATGCATCTATTGGGAAAGAAAAAAAAAAAGAAAAGGGAAAAGTATTTTTTTTAAAACCAATGAAATTGTTTTAGGGAAACGTTTTCGAAAGTGTTTGTGAAAACCGGACGCCTAGGAGGCGCTTAGTGGTCCGTGGTGTTAGTGTGATCTAGAGGGGGTTAGAGAGAGACTCTAGTGTGGTTGAGCTACCCAGACGACGCTATGGAGGTGCCATGTGGTTGAGGAAAACTAGCCAACCCCTCTCTCGTGATGCCTTGGAGGTGCCTTGGGTCGGATTATACTAACAATTTGGAAGTTGAAACGGAAATGTTTCGGAAATGGGGAGCGACATGAGCATGGCATTGCACTTCATTGGCATACATGATGAATTTGTGACTTGGATGACATTTGTGTTTATATTGGATGTTGTGGTTATGGTTTACATCCCCGGTACAATATGATCCCGTTCTCTTGTCTTTTATTCTATACGTAGATTCACGGGGTCATAAGAGGTGTGTCTTAGACACTTCCTACTAAGCTTAAGCTCACTCCATTATTAACATTTTTCAAGATACGGAAGGGAAGTGGCGGACGATGCTTCTCCACAGGTTTTGACGGGTTAGTGAACTGTTTTTGACATATTTTATGGCTATGATCCCATTATTATTATTATTATTATTAATCGTATTATGTATCGACATAGGAAACGATGTTAGTGCCCTTAGTTGACCTCGGGTTCGGATAAGGACCCGGTTAGCGATTTGGACCCTCGGGTTCGGGTCGTTACACAAACCGCATGATACTATATTCTTCCTTACGAACTCTAAGGCCATTCTGCTCTATATAGATGGACATAAATAGCCACGTGTCACATTTACTTTTTAGAGAAGCATGCAAACATACGTTGGTGTGTGTTACGACAAATGTTAATTAATTGACATGTTGTCTGCACATGCATAGGTACATGTACACACGCTGCTCATGAGTCTGTTCATGGATTTATACGTCCATATGTATATGTGTACAATATATACATCATTTGAATACCTGCAGATTAAGTTTACAACTGCAGGCATACAATGGAGAAGTAGGAAAAATAGTGCTTTCATGTAAATGAGTTCTGAATGTATTATAATCTGGACTGAAAGTTATGACAATCTAGCAGAATTATCTATAATTTGTTCCAACAAAATTCTAAAAAGTAAATTATTTGTGTCTAATAAATTGGTAGTAGGATAACTGATAGCCGAGATATGATAGGCTAGAATCATGGGATTTCATTTTATTTAAAAATATGTCCAGGCATAGAATATGCAATGATTTTATTCAGTTTCCTTTCTTGTAATATTAACATGTTCTCTTTTTAGTATATAAATACCAGAGCCGTGAATGAGTGTTTAAGCCTCATTCAAGTCTTTATGTATTATTATTCTCATTCAAGCAATCAAGCCTTTACACATTTCTCTTCTATTCCTTCTATCTTGTGTTTCTTCTATAACAATTGTAGATGTCATCAATCATGAAAGAAATCAAGGAGAAACAAAGAAATTTAAATGGAATTGGTAGCAGTTACTTATTTTTCCTAAAAATTTGGTTCCGTTTAATTTGTTTATCTATTTTGTTTATTTTTATTTGAGGAATTTGGCTCTTTGCTGGGTTTTCATCTCCGTTAACTAGAAAACGTCTTATGCAAAGTGATTTATTTTTGGGAATGATCTCTGGAGGGATTATGGGGATGCCCTCCATTACCACAAAAAATGGAAAAAGAAAAGGACATATGTTGGAGGAAACGTTTCTTACTTATGACTACAATTCAACAATTTTGAGAAGCATAACACGCCTTTTCTGCAATTTCTTTTTGCCATTTTTTTTAACTTACCCAAGTGAATTCCTTTCCTTACTTTCCTTCTAATGAAGTTAATTTCTTGCTTTTCTGTTGATATTTATATTTTGTATTCCACCCCCACCTACATAGTCTTCAACCATCTCACACGTACGTCTGCCCTCTGTAGTACTGCAATGAAAGCATGCTAGAATCACATTCACTACAGTGACATATGCATACAAGTTTTATGTGCTGTTTGATAAAATTGAATTTTAAGGGTTGAATTTTTTTAATTTTTAAGTAATTTGCAAACATAAAATCCGTTAGAAATTGTCTGATTAGTATGGATAACTGAAGACTCGAGCTATTCATTTTATAGTTTACCCTATAATTAATTACATTTGGACAAGGGACCAAAATATCATAGTTGAGCATGCCAGATATTGACACAATCCTATTCCTACCCAACGCTCAATACAAAACCTCTAGCAGTAAATTTGCTACATGATCAATAAATTGATGATGCTAGTGTACACAAAATATGAGAAGCAGAACTACAATTATATGTGTGATTCATCATATGATTGGCTTTTCTAAAGTATTTAAATGAAGTTTGGTTAAATGACGTAAGTATCATAATTCAACATGCCAAAAATCAACACAAACCTACCCAACATTCAATACAAAACCTCTTGCTGTAAACTTATTATATGATCAATAAATCACATTACTGTGCAGTGTGCACAATATCAGAATGTATGATTTATTGTTACAATTGGCACTGTTAACCTGTAATATTGTAACTGGATTATTACTTCTAGAATTGCATTAGCCTATTAAAAAGCAAAAAAGGAAAAAAGCTATTGTATTGAGATTTTATTTATTTTTTCCTTTTGTTTTAAAACAAAAGGGAAAAATATGAAAGAATAGTGAATAGTTGGATACAAGATACCTAACAAGAGTTTGTAAAAAGCAATTAGGCATACTTATTAAGGAATTTAGAACAGAAGTGTATCTAAGAACCTGTTGAACTAAGGATGTAGAATATATATACATATAATATTCAGAAAACATATTTTTTGCTCTTCGGATTTGAACCCCTGTTTACATGTTTGATAGCCCGAGCATTTTACTGCTGCACTAGACAATGGCCCCAAGAGTTTTCCAAGACTCATGAACCACGCTTTGTACTTGAATTTATTCTAAGGAGCACAGACACTCCTCTAAGGGGTGTTGTGGGGCATTGGACGTGGACACATGTGGGAGATGCCCTGGAACTTACATACTACCTCCGTTCCACTTTAAATATTGGCTTCGGGAACCGTGACTCACAATTATGAGTCACCGTTCCCGAAGCCGACATTTAAAGTGGGACAGCGGGAGTATATTTTTGCCTGGTTGAACACGGTTGGGACATGGTGGAGACATGTCGAGAACACTTTTGTGACAAATTGGGGTTTTTTTTGTTGTTGCAATTATTATTATTATTATGAAAAAGGTGTTCTAATGCAATTGTAAAACATAGTATGGGTTAGGAGAAAAATTAATATAAGGTTTTAGAAAACAAAACAATTATTTAGCTTTAAGCTCCAAATTAGTGATTAAAATTGTGATAATGTTGGTAAAATGAACAAAAATCAATTATATATTAATATTGTGATACATTGTTATTTTATTGATGTATCACAATGTCCATATTGTGTCGTAGTTGTGTCCATGTTTCATTGGTCCCATCCTAATACTTTTGCGTGAATCATGCAGACGCATGTTTATAGGATCAGTGCCCTTTGATTAGGGTGGTATATTGAGGAAAAAATAGTTAACAAAGAGGGTTAATAAGGGTCTTTCTATTTCTTATACATTATAAGACTCTTTTCACGTAGCACATTCAGCTTTTAGTGATAAGTGAAGCCCCTATCAATTAAAATTTAGAACTTTTTTGTGGAATTTGTTTGTTTAAGTGATACCTAAATAACATTATCAAACACACAATTGATCGAGAAACCACTTAATTTATTCATTTTTAAGTACTTAATTGGATTATCAAACATCTTATAAATATTTAGAGTTCTAGTTCACTTTCCTTTCTGTAGGTGTTTAATCTAATGGACAAATTTTACTGTCTCCTATCATGTAACAGGTAGGTGGAGCAGCTATGAGGATATGGCTAGAGAAGAATGTTGCTCCTGTGCTTCTTGAGATGCTATCTGAGAACAAAATAAATGCTACACCAACCATTTACATTGATGTCCTTGTTGGAACGGATGAGCTGTCTTACAGAATGGAGAATAGTAGAGGTTTAGTGGGTGATAATGTTTTCAATCGGTTCAAAGAATCTTCAATAGAATTGAGACTTCTGTACTTGAAGGAGAAGGAATATAACGACATGCAACACGTACTGATGACGGGGCACAGATGGTGACTCAATTCAACATGCAAGAATACAGTGATCCTGATTCATTTTTTCAGCTGATGGGTGGAGCCTTTTGCTTCCCATTGTGTGTGAGATTGACATAGTTGTTTGTTCAAATTTATAATATCAATTCTTTTTAATTATGCACACCTTTGTTTGTATTACTCCACATGTATGATTTGAAAAGTACTTTGTGGCATTTTTAGGCATGCTAGCCATGAGTAACATGGTTTGGCGCTCCCTGAGGCCGTTAAGACAAGGCCATATCGCGTTGTCCTCCTTGATCAGGTTGAAAAGGCCCAAGCTTCTGTTTTTAGTGCTCTCCTTTCAGTGCTTGACCATGGTACATGAAGATGTGAAGTTGGACGAGTAGTCAATTTATGTGACACTATTGTGATTGTTATGTCGGATTTGGGAAACAAGCGTATACTTGCCGGCCTTGTTGGACATGCTTCTCAAGATACTGTTCAAGAAGGTGACCTCGAACAGGTGATTAACTAGAAAAGAGCAAAGTTGTACTTCAGGATGGAAGTGATTGTTTGATTTTATAATGTTGTCATATTGTTTGGTGAAAGAATGATTTACTTATTAACGTGGTTTGACCACACTATCGTATATAAATACTCTATGGTATATACATGTATATATTAGCGCATATTACTATATGTAGGTCTATGTTCCTATGTCTGCTTTTATATTTATATGCACCCATGATTGTTTAAGTTGTACTTCTCGATGGAAGTGATTTGAGTCTGAGTTTGATTTTATTTATTTATGAGTATCATACTGTTTGGTAAAAGAGTGCTTAATTTATCCTGGTTTGACCACACTATCATATATAAATAATCTATGTTATATACATATACATATACGTCTATAGGTGGGCATATGTGTATATGTCTGCTTCTATATATATTTGTGTCCATGATTGTTCATGTAAACATCATGTCCATAGACGCCACCATATGAACCCATTTATATATACAGGAGTCTATGTGCTTACAAAAACAATTAATTAATTTATCATGGTTTCCCCCCACTACAATACTAATATACTATATATTGATACATAGCCTTATACAACATTATACATACATGTATGTATATGGAATCCTATATGTACAGATGTATGCGTGTAAATTTGCACCTATTGTTTATATATATAGTCACTGACATACATTATGCATTCATATATATATGAATACATTGGTCTAGTCTGCTTGGATGGGTTTATATTCTAAAAAGACAATTTATAAGGAAGAAGGAGCATTTAGATTTATGCCTAAAATGTACTTACAGGAAGGACAAAAGAATGCTATACTTAATTTATCCAAGTTTGACCACACTACCATATAATACATAAATGTATAAATAGACCAATATCTACATATATGTATCTATACGTGCATCTATATATATTTGCCCATAAATACATATATGCACCCATATAATTTTTTGTGGATACATCATTTATACAGACATACCATATGCACATATTGGTCTATATGCTCAAAATTACTCTTTATATGCACTTATTTAGCTGTATTGATGCCTATATCTGACATGTGCCTTTATGTATATAGACTTGTATGTACCATGAATGCTTTCATATGTGCCTGCAACTGATTCACATACATTCAAATGTATGCCTCTACATATATCTATATACACACAGAAACCTAATTATGCTGATGGCATGCACTTCAATATATGCACACACTTGTATATGAATGTGCAGTACATGAGCCTGTAGGCCTGTACGTGTGTGTATTTCAGGTGCACTTTGAGGAAACATATTTCCATATTGTGTTGAAGTCACGTTTCAGAAGATGCTTAATCCATAACTTTCTGCTTACAAAAATTTGGCTGGACTAAAAAAGAAATTACATGGTGAATCGTTTGTACTTGCACTTGACCAAGCTTGCCATTTGTTTCTTGATGGTCATCACTTTCTTTGGTTGTGTCAGGGAGGAAGACTTTTCAGATTTGAGTTGCTGAATCAGATAGATGAGATTGTTATATTTAATCCATTCGCTCGTGAGCAGCTGAGAAAATTTTCCAGGCTACCTTTGGGGGCTGGTAGTCATCTAGAAATGGGATCATATACTCTATTTCCATCAGCACTCTCCTCTCTGTTTTCAAGGTTCAGCGATCCAGTAAGTATTCATTCGCATTGAACCTTGTATCTTTGATTTTGTTTTTGTACTTAGTTTCATTTAATTTCTTGCCATTTTGGTTGTGTGAACAGCAGGCTGAATTATTTGTAATTTTGTTTTTAGTTTGTTGAAAGGACAAAAGCCGAGTTCGTAGTGTTATCCCAACTATCAAAGAGGCTGATTGGGAGCTGCAACCTTTGGTGTATTTGGTAGCTACCAAATTTTGCACATATATATATATATATACACACCAGCTTTTATTTAGAATTAGGCTTTAGGAGTTGGGATTGAGAAATGTAGAGATGTGTATTGAGACTCTGAAATTGATCTTCCAAGGGTAAGCCCTTGTGTCTTCTCGACCATATTATATAAAATTTTCCACGTTAGCCCAAAAAATAAAAAATAAAAAATCTGAAATTGATCCACCTGTGGTTTCATATTACCTTCTTGTTGATGTTTCTGAAATATTATTTTTATTTCAGGTAAATGAGTCAGTTCATTCTTACCCCTGGAGAAAACAAAAATGTCTTCTTGTGAACTAGTGAAACTTAAATTGTCTGTCTTCAAATTGGTGCTTATAAGATTCAAGTGTAGTTCGTTCATTCTTTATTAAAGTCACAACCTTTGTCTACCCACTAATTATAATTAGTATCCTAGTAATCTTAAGTGTTTCCAGTTAGGTTAATATTCCACACACATATGTATAGGCTCAATTGGAAGAGAAGTTATACTAGCTGAATTAATGGTGCTAATATTTGATACACCTATGGGGAATTCTAGGAGAGAGAATCTTGAAATTTTATCAAAACACTTACAAAATTCTGAAAAATGACATTCGCAAAATATATAATAAAATATTAAAAAGTTTCAGTAATAGTGAAGTAAAATGTGCATGAATTAGTTAACAACTAAAAATATGTAGGAGCGAAACCTCGGATATCCCGGATTATCCAAAAAAAAAAAAAAAAAAAACTAAAAAAACTAAAAATATGTCATAAAATCCTTATTTCAAAATTTCTCAAACTTTATATAATGTTATTATGCTAGTACATATATATGATTAATATTTCTTATTTATTCCCTTGGTCTCAAAATAATTTTTTTTTCTTTTCTTTTCGGACTATTCCAAAATATTCGTCTTACTTAAAAAAGTTTGAACAAGATATTCAGTCTCTTCATCAATACCCTTGAAATTAAAAAAAAAAAAAAAATTCAAACATAATTATACATATTTTCAAACTTGAATTGAAAGAGTAATTTAATAATTTTTAAAAGGGACATGAGATGTTCTTTTGAAAATTTCTACTCTTTAAAAAATATATATATTTTTTAAATAAATTATTATATGATCCCAAATTATTCATCACTTGACACCAAAATAAATTTCTCAAAAATATTTAAACTTTATTAGTTTATTCACTTTTTTACTTAGCTATTAAGCGGTGATTGACTAAAGAGTAAAGACTATTGATTGCAACATGTAATAATTTCTCTCTATTTTAATGACGAAGGGACTAACTGGGATCAAATAGAATATTAAAGTACAAAATTTTGTATTATATGCTGCATTTTTCAAGATGTTTTTTTTTTTAGCACAACATTTTTCAAGGTTGATACACCACACAATGCACTCAAATACTCAATACCCTTTACACACACGCGCACACACACACACAAACTATGTACCTGTACCTGCAGGCTGCAGCTTTAAAAAAAAAAAACCTGCTGGACGCAGCTTTAAAGGTGCTCATTGCATTTCATTTCATCAACACCTTGGTTGGTTGACTGATGGAGCTCTTTCTTTGCATTTTCATTTAAACTGCGACGTCTCAGTTCATTGCCAGATCTCTGAAACCCTAGTTTCATTCTCACTACTTCTCATCTCTCACAGTCTCATTGATCCAACTCACTCCTTCCTCCTCTCACACACACACACCCTCTCCTATACATCAATGGCTTACCAGAACGGAGGTCTTAGGGATTTGCTAAGAGACGACGGCGGTGGTTTTCTTCCGGTGATAGTTCGGGTGATTCTCAACCGACAACACCTACCACACTACAACCTCACCTGCTCCATTTATGAAGCCCCTCCCGCTATAACCCAACCAGATGCGGCAGATGCGGGGAAGTCATCCAAGAAGGATTGTGGAGGTTGACCAGCGCGGAATGTTGTCACAGTTTTCACCCAGAATGTGTGAGAAAAATGAAGACAGAGGTGATGAGCTGTGGGGATTGTGGTGACATTATCAGGATTCCTGCTCTGATTCTAAACTTGGGTGAAAACGGTGAGTGTTCTCAATCTTTAATTCATAACTGTCTTTACATCTACATCTAATTTCTCATATATATATATATATATATATTATTGTTCTTTTTATACAGTAGCTGAGATTGCTGCTCGTTTAGATCAACGCCCACCGATTCCGGCATGATGATGACCTCGCAGAGTAACTTGATGGATAATTTTGTTGTTCACCAAGATTTGAACTCCTGTTCTTCAGTTCTTAATTGCTCACACATTTTTTGTTGTTTTGATATGAGGTTTATATTGTTGATTTGTGGCTTAGGTCTAACTTGTATGTTAATGGATATGGATTTTGGGTTTATGTTTTTGATTTCAAGTACCTCCATGGTTTAGGACGTTAATTTTAGGTTTATAATTTGGATTTTAATTACTCTCAACTGGTTGGTTTGTTTACTCTTCACGATGAAGAAGATGCCTTATCTGGTTGTGCTTTTGTCTTTTGAGCAGTAGCTCCTTCCATATTTATCCATTTTATTGCCCCTAAATTTGTCACTTCTTTGACTACTAATTTATGAATATAGTTGTTACAATTTTCAACTTTATTTGGTAGGCCACATAAATGAACAACAGGGTAAATAAATCATGTACTTTGTCAGTGTGTAATTGCAAAAAAACAGAGTGAAAAATTGTAATAAAGAAAGAAAAAAGTGTTGGTATTGAAAGAAAGATTGGGTGGTTGACTTTTTGCTTTGATTTTGCTTAAATATTGGGAGTTTGTTTGAGATTTTTAGTATGTTTGAATTAAAATCAAATGCATACTTAAACTAATAAAGTACGATTTCAGGACCAAAATTTCTTGTCTTTTTATTGATTAAACTAACAATAGTATATGTGGTTCAATAATGCCCCAATAATTTTGCAGTTAAGACATTTTTTTTTTTTTTTTGATAAACTAGGGTCAAAGAAGAAATAGCCAAGTTTATCATGTTTTTTCTTTCATTGTATCTGGCATTATATGAACTTGTTCAGGTGTTACTGCAACCAGCTTGAACTATTGAACATATATGTATCTTTATATGTGAATGCATTAATTTGCGTAAGTGTGTGCACTAATCGCTCTTGGGGTTTTCATTCTTAGTTGGAGTTTGATCTATTAATTAATTTTCAAATTGCATTATATTAGTATGATCTATCACTTATTGTACTGGTATGTGAATTCAGTTATATTACTTGGAATTCCTTTTAAGGCCTTGTTTGTGGGTTGATTAATTCTTCAAGAATGGTTTTCTGCATTTCAACACCTTTTCTTTGGATGGTGCCAACACAGACTATATTTCTAGCACTAGAATTTAAGATTGGAATTTGTGCTGCCATTTTTTTAATAAAATTTTGGCTTGTGATTTGTGGGTTCTGATTGTTTCTTCATTCTCATTAATTTATTGATTTATGCAATTATGTTTTGAAATTGCCATGAAACTTGCAGGGAGACAAGCATTGGCTTCATGTAAGTAGGAGTTGAAGATGAAGGAATAGCTAGTAGACTTTTGAAAGGTTTCAAGAGAGTTCTCTTTATGGTTTTTTAGATATACGTTTGTAATTTTACTTTATTTTATGAATTGCTGTGCACTTTGTTGCATATGGATTATAGAATTGGTGATATTGTCCAAGATCATATATGCAATACTAAAGAATTTGGCTTCTCTGTTTCAATGAAACCAAATTACAAAGCAAATTGAATGTTGTCTGGTGCTTGGCATGCATTTGTTGTGAACTAGTTTTAAATGGGTCTTTTTATTTTTATTTATTTATTTATTTTTTTATCCTTGTGGGATTGTCTGCATTTGTTATATTTTTGTGAGAATAGTATTTGGTAATAGGGTGGAACTATTGAATGTTCACTAGATGCAGCAGACACCATGGGGACGCATATGGTATCAACTCATTTCTTACAGTATATTATTTGCATTCGGTGTCAACCAAGGGCGGATCCTGGGCTTTGGTGGTCTCAAGCCCACTAAAAAAAATTCTGTTCCTACAGCCATTTATAGCCCAATAAAAAAATTTATTACTAGTATTAGCCCACCAAAATATTTCCGAATCCACCCATGGTGTCAACTTTTCATTTTTGGTGAAATATGCTCCATGATCTCAACTTTTGAGGAGATTATACTCCTTTCATAGGCATTAAATCAATATCTTTGTCCATTTGAAGAGGATGTGGTCCGCCATTGAAGAACCACAAAAAGAAAATACGGATGACCAACAAAATTCATAAAACCAAAGCTCAAATCAAGCAGTTATAGTTATATGTAAAATCTGAGATTTTTTTTTTAAAAAAAAAAAAAGAAAAGAAAAACATATAGAAATATTTTGCCATCCAAATGCATCAATCACCCATACACACACACCAAAAAATAAAAATAAAATAAAATAAAAAACTCTAGATTTCATGACATTAAGTTTTACATTTTATCCAGCAATTTGTAGCTTTTATATATTTCCGTTATGAATGCTTGAGAAAACAGAAGCTTCCACGAGGACAAGATAACAAGAGGACGAGTAAATAAGAAATTAACGGATGTAACTCTAGCTTTTCACTTTGATGGGCTGTGGTGAGATGCAACTCTTGGTATTTCCTCCAAAACCTACAGATAAAGTGTAAAGGAAGTATCCAATAATTTTTAATATAGTTTATGGAATTGAAATATTTCCACCGCTAGCAATGGTAAACTTGATTAGATATATACTAAACAATAATGAATTAAGTCGAATATACACACACATATGTAAGTTTAATTATAACTAGCTCGATGGAAGTAAATTAAGTAGTAGTTTGATCAATCAATTTCTAAAATTATTGCAGTATTTTAGCTTAGCTAGCCCATGGTCGGTTCGCAAATGCCCTACGCACAGTAACTCCCTGTTTGGTAATATTTTCAAAATTTTTTTTTTCCCGTTTGGCAACTCTATTTTTACTTTTCGCATTTCAAAACTTTTGAAAACTAGTTGTCATTTCCTTCACAATTTCTACAACTCCAAAATGAAACTTTGATTTTCAGTTTTGGTTTTCAAATAATGTTAATTATTATTTTATTATTTTTCAAAATTAGAGAAGTATTATTTTATTATTTTTCAATTATACTCGAATAGTAAATAAAATTTTAAAAATATTTTATTATGCTAGATTAGTAAAATTAAAAAAGTTGTTTTATTATTTTTCAATTATACTTGAATAGTAAATAATATTTTATTATTTTTAAATTATTACAAATAGTAAATATAATTAAAAAAATATTTTATTATACTTGAATAATAATATTAAAAATGTTATTTAGTATTTTATTAATTTTCAATTACTCAAATAGTTAATAATATATTATTTTATTAATTTTCTAATATATTCAAATAGTAAATAATTTTTTTAAAAAACTATTTTATTATACTAGAATAGTAAAATAAAAAATATTATTTTATAATTTTATTAAAATTTCTAATTATACGCGAATAGTTAATAACATATTATTTTATTATTTTTCAATTATACTTAAATAGTAAATAAAAGTCATTTAAAAAAAAAAAAATACCAAACATATTTTATCTTTTAAAAAATTCAATAGTAGATGTATGTTACCAAACTGTTTTGGTAACGACAAAAAGAACAGCACAACTTTTCAAAGCTTGTCATTTTCACGAAAATGAAAGCACAACAAAAAATAAAAACTACAACATTACCAAAAAGGACTTAAATCACTCACTTTTGCCATGCAAGCATATATTAGATGAAATATGTTTCTCACTCCGGACCCACAGAACAATCCAAATCATATGAATACTGATTTAAACATATAAAACCCAAAACCCTCCAAATCACCACCACCCATTTTGCTCCACTACCCCCTATCTCTCGAGCTCTTTGGTTTTATTCAGACCCGAACCATACTCCACCACCGCCATGTCTCTAATTAACAAAGACGAATCTTCTCTCACATAGTAGATCTCGATTGCCGAAAATGGTTTAGTTAGGTTTTCTTCCTCTTTGGGTTTTGTAATATAGCGAAACCACGCGCACAAAAGAAATCCACTCTCAGAATTAGGAGTTTCCGATTCACACACACACAACACACACACACTTTCTATATTGGAAATGGATTTAATAATCGGAGGAATCTCGAGTTTACTTGAAGCTTTGCCCATGAAACTACTGCGAGTGGTTCACAATTGGGTCACAAACCAAAACTACCCTATGTGCCTCCCATATGTATTTGATTTTGTCTGGGTGAAGAATATAATTAACCCTTCTGTGCTTCCCCAGTGTCCCTTGTGTTTTTACCCGTGCCTATTCCGGAGGAGCCTGAGGATGAAGACGAGCATGTTCTCTCAATTCCGATCCTGATCTATTAGACGTTGTGTGACTACTTTGGGTTGGTTATCAAAGATGATGCCTGGCAATACACTTCACGAGTGTGTGGGCATCACTTTCACCCAGAATGCATCGAAATCATTCATATTGAAGAAAAACGTTGTGGAACTTGCGCTAAAAAATTTCATGTATACAAAACTTTCCTGCATATAGGGATAAATAGTGAGTGTTCATTTAATGTATCTTCAATTAACATTTCTATATATGTTAAATTTCTTATGTATACTACTTGTTATATAATATACGCAGTAGTTGAAGATCAAGAGCTATTTCAAGAAACACTCGATAGGTATCTTGAACCTATACTCGAGTTGTTGCAGCATATAGTTTGAAGTCACTTAGCTCTTTGTTGAATTGTTGGTGTATTTGGGATCAAATTTTTATATCTTTAATCATTTGTATGAAGAATACTTAGCTCTTTGTTGAATGCTGATTTGGATATATAAAATCCAAAACCTTCCAAATCACCACTACCCCTTTGCTCCCTTACCTCCTCTTTCTCGAGCTCTCTGGTTTTGTTCAGATTCGAACCACACTCCACCACTGCCATGTCTCTAATTAACAAAGACGACTATTCTCTCACATAACAGATATCAACTGTCTCACACACACATACTTGGAAACGGTTTAGTTAGGTTTTCTCCCTTTCTGGTCTTGTAATAGAGCGAAACCACGCACACAAAAGAAATCCAACCTCAAAATTAGGAGCTTCGATTCACACATGCACACTTTCTGTATTGGAAATGGATTTAGTAAACGGAGGAATCCAGGGTTTACTCGAAGCTTTGCTGGCGGAACCACAGCAGTTGGTTAACAATCTGGTCATAAACCCAAAATACCCCATGTGCCTCCCATATGCATTTAATTTTATAAAGGTGAAGAATATAATTAAACCTTCTGAGCTTCCCCAGTGACCCATGTGTTTCTAACCCATGCCAATTCCAGAGGACCCTGAGGACGAAGACGAGCCTGTTATCCCTATCTATTAGATGCTATGTGACTAATGTGTGGTAACTCAAATTTTTAGGGCTTGATTTTATTTTTATTTTTTGAGAGATATTATTTATTTTGGGTTTATTTTGCCTTGGATCAGATTTATTTTTGGGTGAAAGATAGTTTCTTTTATTATTTTATTTGGTATAGTTCATGAGTATCAATTTGACTGATGGTGGCTTGATTTTGTGGAAGTATATAGTTCATATATATATATATAATATGTTGTTGGAGATGCCAGCTGCCAGCCGAAGGTGGGAGAAAGAAGGAAAAAGAGAAATGGTTTTGGAGGGTCCCACTTGAGATATATAATGGGTTTGGTGTGATACCCCCGGATTTTCGAATGCGAGTTGGCCAGGCCCACGCCCGAATACCCGAGGATATCAAAATAAATTGATAATAAACGAACACAGAGTACAAAAGAATAAAGAAGAATAAATAAAATGCTGACAAGAAACTAAAATGATAATCTAATAATAAACCTCAGAATATATTTCCATTAATTAATAAACTCTTCTGATACAACTGATCCTCCAAAATACAACTCGGGAGTCCATACTGTGTGGCCCCTTAGAAAATCCAAACTAAACAAATGACAGCAATAACTGTCTAAATCAGGAAACTGAATCATAAAGGAACTCCTATGTAGCATCGGAAGAATGAAGTAGACTGATCCCTGCTCAGCACGAACAACCTCTACTCCTGACGAACACCTGAAAAATAATGGTGGGTCAGGCCCACAAACAAGTTCTACTCTACTATAGTCCAAGCAGAGATCCGATACACGTATACATCCTAGTCAATCCAATAGTAACTAGTAGTCCGTATATATATATATATATATACACACACTAAATGAACCTCACTAGACTATAGGGTTGTCTCAACCTGAATAGTAGGTAACATGCAAAACGCACATATAGTGGGCATGAATACCTAGACCTACCAGGGTACACAACTACACTATATCTAGCTACAAATCACTGGCGATATACGCACCCTAACCACTGATCCTAAGACTCAAGCTCATATCATGGCACCATACTTATATATATAAAATCTAGTAACCATCCTATCCGGTATAAATTAATCCTCCATAAGTCATTCAACTTGTTCAGCTGACCTAACTTGAATATAAGTAGGACTTAACATTTTAGTTAATCCATTCCTTTATATAATAAATTAATCATCCATAAGTCATTCAACTTGTTCAGCTGACCTAACTTGAATATAAGTAGGACTTAATATTTTAGTTAATCCATTCCCTTATATAAAATAGGTAGGACTTAACTGATAAGTTAATCCGTCCCTAGAATGCC